CTCCGTCATGATGGTTAGCTTCTTGTGTAAGCTGCTGCTTTAATGGACCTTTTTCTTTTGGGTTGCATGCAGGTGGACGCTGCTCTAATGCTCCTTAGAAACCTTATTTTGAATGTGAGTGTGGTGATTCTTCCCCTTAGTGTGTTATGTATGCATCTTAGCCATTAATCATTTTGTTATCTGTTAGCCAACGCTGTTCTGTGCTAGCTTACATTTGTTTCACTTGAATAACCTCTATGTCATGTCATCCGTTTCAGGACCCATCAAATACATTTGTTGTATCTCAAGATGTATGGGACCTTCGGCTGTTTAAAAATTTGCCATCAATGTAAGTATTTTGCATGTTCACAATGCATGAATACAGATGAACACATGTTGGTATCATGCTGGTCATTAACTATGGTTTGAACCTTTCTTTTTTCTTCCCTTTTTTAAGTAAATTAATACTTCAGTTTTGTCAGTCAGAATGTTTAGATGCTTATAGCAGAGTGTATGTGGGGAAGCTTGAGTATGGTTGTGGTTAAAGGAAACGTTAGATTGTTGTGTGGTTGGTTTATTGCATCTTATGGAAATATTTGTGTCGTTAAATACTGAAAGTGCTGGATCAATGCTTTGAAACCCTAAATAGGCCTGGAGAAGGGGGTTGGAATAGTTCTTTAGAAATAATGCGAAATTAAAATCAACAATATCACCACACACACACACACACACACACACACACACACATATATATTATAGTTTTGCAAATAGGCAAATCATAGAAAATCGCATGTTAGGAATATAAGCAGATATGAAGAACACAATGATGTTTATGTCGAAAATCCAAACTTGGAAAAAACCTAGTCCAGCCAAATTAATTCCACTATGAAATCAAGTCTTGTATTCCACTATGAAATCAATGTAGAAGACTTTATGCTAATGATCTTACTAGCAACAACTAGTTGTAAGCTATGCTCTTGATTTTATGTTTCCCAATGACACTGTGCCGCTCACTTACATTGCATTGATGATGAAGGTTTGGATCGCACTCCTACCCCGAACACATGCTGACTAGGTCAGTTGACTCAGTTCTATAGATGGCATTAACTCGTTACATCTCCTTAGAATCCACCCCAGATCCTCAACACAATCACTAACAATGGTTGAGTGCTAGAAAACTCCATGCTCTGAAAGGCCTAGGTGTCTTACACCACTAACAGATGTGATATATGATGGCAATTTGATTTTACCTAGCCTTTAGTCAAAAACCTACAGGAATCAATCTTCTCAGAAAAAAACTATTTGCAAAGAGAGAGCTTTTGATTGTGTTCTTGACCTAGGTTTTTCTCTATTGGTCTTGGTGTGTCCTCCTAGGTTTTCAGATTGTTTATTTATAATAGGGATGCACGGGTATGAGTTTGGAAGGAATTATAGCAGAATAAGGAAACTTTGGACTCTGAATTTCCATTAGTCACTGCAGTGCCTTCATGCTTGCTGGACTGCGCGTGGCACTGCTTGAGCGCCGAACAAGTGAGTAGTGGTTGCCAGCTACGAGAATTCTTCCAAAACCAGTTCACATGAGCTAGCTTGGTCAAGTCACCAAAGGCTTTACTGGATTGTGTAGTACATTTAAGGTTTTAATTTCGATTTAAAAGCATGTTTTGAATACAAAAATGGTAAGGCTAAGTATAAATCATGTAAATCAGGTCCGAATAATATTTCAACCTTAATTAAGCACTTGGTCAAACTTAGGTCCCTAGGTCAGCTTAACATGTCTTGCTGGTATGTGTTTGTGATAAATTTGCCCTTGAAATCTTCTGCGTATCTTCAATTGATTTTTGAAGCAACTCAACGAACTTGACCAAAGTCTTAGGCCGATTTGAATCATGTGACTTACGGAATCTGCCCGCTTGAAAGTATAACCCTCACAAATACAACTTGGAACAAACCTTTATGGTTGCCCTTTGCCCTAGCAAAGACTGCTATAACTATTCATTGAGAATTGATGTAAGGAATATATATTGGATTGATAGACTGAGAATACACATTAATTGATTTTGATTGTCGGCCCTGTGGTCTTTTTAGCAATTTCCTTACATTGGTCTTCATCTGTGCTTGATGTTTGTTTGAGTTTTGTTCAGACATTCTAGATAGTTTGGATCAAAGATTGGAGTCTTAGACCTAATTCTGGAGCATTCAATAGCCTGCAATTGTCTTTGGATTCTTTCAATTAGATAGTGAAGTAACAAATTGAGTTTTGAGCATTGTGTGGTGCTTTTGATGTTTGATTGATTCTTTATGCAACCTTACCTTAATTCTTATGGAATTTGAGGTGAGAATTCTATGCTCTTCCTTGTCTTTTCTATGCTTTTGTTGCTCTGAGTAGACCTTCAAACCATATCCTTTGAACCCCACAAACCCCTTTGTAAAGCACCTTGCTTTACAAAGGCCAAATGTATGAGAAGGATAAGGCACCCTTTAAGCATCTTCCAAAGGAGTAGGGGAAGTGTGATAAAAAACCCTATCTAGCAGTGCATCTGGAATAACACAAGGCACTGTAGATGAAAATCCTTGGGTGTTGCGTTTGGCTATGGTGCGTAAAGACAAACTTCTTTCTAAATTGATTAAGTGTCCCAGCTCTTCTTTTTCCTATGACATTGACTGATCCAAGAGTCCTAAAAGAATGAGTTGACTGTGCCTCCAAAGCCGTGTGCTTTGTCTTCTCATCTAACTTGTACAACTAAGGAAGCACATTGACAGGAAGATAGGTTAGATCAAAATTAGTTTCTTTGAAGACCTATAAAGACAAACTTTTGGCTTTAATAACATACCATTAGAATCTGGCGTCAAAGAGAGAAGTTGGTAGTTCCTTCATGCTCCCTTAAGATACATGCACTTAATTTCCCTGGATGCCATCAATAATAAGCTTCAACATATTGTTCGAGGAGCTCTCCGTTAGCAAAACTTGTCACAAATTTGCTTTTTACTAGAATGAACCAAACACTATAACATGATTTCATCATACAAGGCTGTAAAATGATTTTGAGGGTATTACACTTTCTGTATTTCGGCTGGATGGAGGGCTGTTGTGATCTATGGACAGCCCAATTTTGGTAGCTTTTGACTAATAATGTTTTTTTTTTTAATTTGTACTGTAATTTGTGTTATTGAGGTTAGATCTCTTTTCCAATTTTTCGCCTTATGTAATGTTTTTGATAGTATTAATAAAATTTTTGTTTCTTACCAAAAAAAAAANTGTGTTTGTGATAAATTTGCCCTTGAAATCTTCTGCGTATCTTCAATTGATTTTTGAAGCAACTCAACGAACTTGACCAAAGTCTTAGGCCGATTTGAATCATGTGACTTACGGAATCTGCCCGCTTGAAAGTATAACCCTCACAAATACAACTTGGAACAAACCTTTATGGTTGCCCTTTGCCCTAGCAAAGACTGCTATAACTATTCATTGAGAATTGATGTAAGGAATATATATTGGATTGATAGACTGAGAATACACATTAATTGATTTTGATTGTCGGCCCTGTGGTCTTTTTAGCAATTTCCTTACATTGGTCTTCATCTGTGCTTGATGTTTGTTTGAGTTTTGTTCAGACATTCTAGATAGTTTGGATCAAAGATTGGAGTCTTAGACCTAATTCTGGAGCATTCAATAGCCTGCAATTGTCTTTGGATTCTTTCAATTAGATAGTGAAGTAACAAATTGAGTTTTGAGCATTGTGTGATGCTTTTGATGTTTGATTGATTCTTTATGCAACCATACCTTAATTCTTATGGAATTTGAGGTGAGAATTCTATGCTCTTCCTTGTCTTTTCTATGCTTTTGTTGCTCTGATTAGACCTTCAAACCATATCCTTTGAACCCCACAAACCCCTTTGTGAAGCACCTTGCTTTACAAAGGCCAAATGTATGAGAAGGATAAGGCACCCTTTAAGCATCTTCCAAAGGAGTAGGGGAAGTGTGATAAAAAACCCTATCTAGCAGTGCATCTGGAATAACACAAGGCACTGTAGATGAAAATCCTTGGGTGTTGCGTTTGGCTATGGTGCGTAAAGACAAACTTCTTTCTAAATTGATTAAGTGTCCCAGCTCTTCTTTTTCCTATGACATTGACTGATCCAAGAGTCCTAAAAGAATGAGTTGACTGTGCCTCCAAAGCCGTGTGCTTTGTCTTCTCATCTAACTTGTACAACTAAGGAAGCACATTGACAGGAAGATAGGTTAGATCAAAATTAGTTTCTTTGAAGACCTATAAAGACAAGCTTTTGGCTTTAATAACATACCATTAGAATCTGGCGTCAAAGAGAGAAGTTGGTAGTTCCTTCATGCTCCCTTAAGATACATGCACTTAATTTCCCTGGATGCCATCAATAATAAGCTTCAACATATTGTTCGAGGAGCTCTCCGTTAGCAAAACTTGTCACAAATTTGCTTTTTACTAGAATGAACCAAACACTATAACATGATTTCATCATACAAGGCTGTAAAATGATTTTGAGGGTATTACACTTTCTGTATTTCGGCTGGATGGAGGGCTGTTGTGATCTATGGACAGCCCAATTTTGGTAGCTTTTGACTAATAATGTTTTTTTTTTTAATTTGTACTGTAATTTGTGTTATTGAGGTTAGATCTCTTTTCCAATTTTTCGCCTTATGTAATGTTTTTGATAGTATTAATAAAATTTTTGTTTCTTACCAAAAAAAAAAAGAAAAAAAAATGATTTAGTCGGGTATTGGCTATTAGGTTTCATATTTGTTGAAAAATAATCAGGTTGCCTTGGGATTTGGTTGGCCATGATATGGGAATGGGAGAAGAGGGTTTTGGTGGCTGATCAGAGGTGGTTCGGGGGCTGCAAACAAAGCACCTTGACAGTAAAATCTGGTTTTATGGTTTTTGAAGTGGCTAGGGTTGAANAGAAAAAAAAATGATTTAGTCGGGTATTGGCTATTAGGTTTCATATTTGTTGAAGAATAATCAGGTTGACTTGGGATTTGGTTGGCCATGATATGGGAATGGGAGAAGAGGGTTTTGGTGGCTGATCAGAGGTGGTTCGGGGGCTGCAATCAAAGCACCTTGACAGTAAAATCTGGTTTTATGGTTTTTGAAGTGGCTAGGGTTGAAGAATTGTTGAAGGGGTGGGTTGCATCTGGTTTAAGGGAATGCATTGTTAGGCCTGTTTGTCACATTAAGGATTGGGCCTAGGAAAGTTCTTTCATTTTGCCTTTTGTAAACCTGGAACACTACCACTTGTCTTTCACATCTGGCCAAAGAGAGGAGAGTAAAAGCTTTTTAACACACAGAAGATTGATTCCCAAGATCTTGTCATAAAAAATTCCCCCATTTTCATATTACTTTAAAAGTTGCCAACAAAAGACAGGGCCACTTCTGTGATTGCAGCTCTTTGCCAGAGCTTCATACCTCAGTTGCCAATGATATTCTTACTGTTAACCTTAAGGTAAAATCTAGAGCCTTCATTATTAATCACCAAGTGTTGCATGCATAATTTACGAGGTTGGGTGGCTCTGGATTTGACCATCAATTGGATTCTTAGATATGCCTTTGCCGATTGCATGATGTAGTAGGCATACCTAGGGGCAGAGCCACACAGGTCACTCATTTTTTAAGAAGTTTTTTATATATATTTTAATACATTCTAAACTTGGACCCACAAAATAGTTATCATGCACTTGATCTACTTAATCATTTCTTGCATTTTTTTTTACTGGTAATTAAGTGAACCCAAATAACGATTAGTTAGTTGAGTCCCTCAACATGATGTGTTTCAAGAAATCATTTTGAAGCTCTTCGTTCCCTCTCTCCTTCTCTCCTTCTATATATTGTGTTCCCTCTCTCCCCGTTGTTAATTTTATATATTGTATAAGATTATCATGCAATATTTTTGTAATATGAAAATCAGTTGAGAAAACTTATAAGGGTAAGGTTGCTCCATTTTGATCTAAGCGTCAAGGATTCAAGTCGCACAAACATCCTCTCTTATGTTGTGCAAGGCTGCATATATTTGACCATCACAATACCTTACATGACCGAGAGCCCGTGCATTGGACCACCTCTTTTTTACTTATTATTAGTTCAAACTTTTTAATCTTACTATTGTTAAACGAGCAATGCTATTGGGACGTGAGTATCTAATATATTTCCGGCATTGAATTAGCAGTAGGTCTCAGCAGCGAATGCAATCTATTTGCTAAGCCAACAGTAGCAATGCATGAGGTCACTAAATTAGTCCCCAAGTTAAATACATGTGGTATTATTGTTATTAAAATTTTCTCCCATTATGATAATTTTCTGCCCCTGCCCCTGGGCGTTCTGTAATGTATTGCTTCTGGGAGAGCTCTTTATCGTGTGGAATATGGACTCGCACTGAGCATTTAGCAAGCTCTACCGTTGCTGCACATGTTATGACATGGTTCTCTGAAAGTGGATTGTATGTGAAATAGATTCTTATGAATTTTATGATTCTTTTATAATGCTTGCTTTATTAGTGGACGATCTTGTGTTGGCCGGTGCTGCCCCATGAAATTCTGTATTTCATATTAGCTGTGGCTGATTCTTTTCAATTATTGGAATTGATAAGCAATAAAGGAAGTGTTGATCAATGGTTAATGATAGAGTTGTTGCTTCAGAATTCAAAGCTTAATGTTTTTGTGGTAATCTTAAAATTTTGTGATATATCTTTTTAACGAACTAAATAGCTGGTTGATCCTGATACTGTGTTGTCTTTTCTTTTTAAGTTAAGCAATGATACTTAATAATATTTTCATTTTCATATTCTCTCTGAATGAATGGTTATGACTGCTATCCAGGTCTGTTTTGTACTTCATTTCGGATTATTTTACGAGGAGAGGATCTCAAGTAAGTGATTCCGGCTAGTCTTTTCACAAGGTTATTGCAATAACTTATTGGCTTCAGGCCAATTTTTAGGGCTTTATGTTGATCTTTTAATTACATAGTGCAGTGTTTTCGTTATTATGGTGGTGTGGTTTCTGTCTACCTGTGGACACTTTTTGGATGTCATACATACAATGGGCTGTATACCTCGATTTGTTCATGTGGGCATACGAAATAGTTTGTCAATCTAGCTGATACCCATTTTGAATCATTTTGTGAAGTCAATTGGGATGCTCTTTCACTCGCCAATTACTTTCAAAACCTTATTATGCACACTATGGCAACATTGAGAAAGCAATGCATAGTATGAATATGGCTGTCCATGGGTTGGGTTGGGCTGGTGGCACAAAAAATCTGGCCTGATTGGCTCATCCGACCCCAGCATAACCAACACCCGCCCAATTTTCTATTTTCAGTTATAAGTTCTAAAGTTATAGTTCCTAGTTGTAATTTCTAGCTTAAAAGTTTGTAACTTATAAGTTGTGATTTTTAGGGTGTAATTTCACTATTCTTTGTAATTAAAAAATAGCTGATATTTTAGGCCATTATGACCTACCATTAACTGCCTGTCACCCATAGCATTGGGCCACAGGTTGGGCTGTAGGACTCCTTATTCAGTACTCAACCTAGCCCAGTGCCTGCTGCGGGCCGATTGTACCTGACCCGGCCTGAAAAATTTTGCAGGGTGCTGCCCGGCTTGGTCATGGACACCCCTAAGTTTGAATTGCTCAGTGAATTTGCTTTGCACTTGAATTTCATTGTCAACACATCTATTATTTTGCAGGCGAGACACGAAAAGAGGTTTCTTTGCAGTTGGTCACTCTTCACGACACTGTATCTTCTGCGCTCTCTCCACTATCTCTTCCACCCTTGTAGAACCCTAGGGTCTAACTCTAATCCATTTTGTTATTCTTCAAAATTAGCCCCTCTTACAAGAGGAGTTGATGACAATTTATGAAAGTTTGTACAATTACTCATGATGTGGGAGGCTCCTGTTCTCCTCTTTCCTTGTGTGCTGCTTGTTGTGCTAACATTAGGAATTCTAACGAGTAACAGACGATAACTTTACTTCGTTTGCGTGTGGTTGGCACACTTCACTAATATCCATTTTAGTGGTTGGCACACTTCATAACAGATGCATTTGTATGCCTGCTTGTTTCCATTTTAACAAGTTCATGCAGGATTGACAGTCTTCGGCGGTGGCTAAATGAATCTGATATGGGGAAATATGGATTTCCTGATGAAGGATTAGGATCCACACAGTTGTTTTCCTGAGATAAACTGAGCTTGGATTTTTGGTGTATTGATCCTTGTTTGGACTTTGGACAAGGCTAGCTGAACATGTTATGGGCTTGCTTCTTGTCCCATTCAGTTTCATTCTATTCCATTTCGATGCACACCCGCAGACCCCGGGTTGCCTCATGTGCTTGCCTCTTACTACGACTCTTTTTTGGGTCATCAGCATCGTGATACTTCCACCCTTGTAGAACCCTAGGGTTTGACCCTAATCCATCTTATTATCCTTCAAAATTAGATCCTCTAACAAGAGTTGATGGAAATTTGTGAAAGTCTATTCTTTTGCGCATGTTATGGGAGGCTCCTGTTCTCCTCTTTCCTTGTGTGCTGCTTCTTATGCTAACATTAGAAAATTTTACTAAGTGATAATGATTACTTTACTTCGTCTGCGAGTTGGTTGGCATACTTCACTAATTTCCATTCTGGTTTTTTTCGCTGTATTTGTGTGCCTTCTCGTAACTCCTTCAGTTCATACAAGATTAACAATCTTCAGATTCATTGGCTAAATTAACTTAATATGAGGAAATATAGAATTCCTGATCTAAGATTATGATCCAAGTAGTTGCTTCCTGGAGCTAAACTGATATTTTGAGTATTTGGTGGATTGATCCTATTTTGGACAAGGCTAGCTGAACATTTTATGGGTTTGCTGCTTATTTATTTCATTTAGTTTCATTTCATTTTGATTAAATGGCACAATAATTTGCTCTTGCTTGCTTGTTTGCCGATGGGTATGTGCTGGTTGAGATTTATTCCCTCATCAATCTTAATACCATAGTTATCAAATCGTGTATCGGAAGGCGTATCGTAAGATACAAATATTGTATCGTATCGTGTATCGTATCGTGTATCGTAAGATACGATGCAATTTTAAATAAATAATAAAAAAATATATATACCTTTGAAAAAAAGTCATACACTCATAAAAAATATAGCATTTCATTAATACTCCACCAACTATTCAAGTTATCAACATAATCCACTACTATTATAATGCAAAGTTCACAACCATAGTTCACTAATTCAAACTTTAAACACCAAAGAGACTTCTAATCCAAATTTCTAACATCCATTTTGAACTCAATCTTCAATTTCAATTGAAAATGCATCATCATCATCATCATTGTGATCGGATGCCAACAAGTCTTCACTTGTCGTTTTTTAAAAAAAAAAATCAGAGCACAAAACGACGTCGTTTTAAAAAAAAAAAAAAAAAATAAAAAAAAATTGCACGTATCGTGCGTATCGTACCGATACGTATCGTATCGTAAAAACGTATCGTGTATCGGACGATACAACGCAAAAACGATACATAACTACGATCCGTATCGTTTTAGGGCTGTATCGTAACGTATCGTACGATACGTATCGCGTATCGTACGATACTAACAACAATGCTTAATACTGTATATATGCATGTGTATTGTTTGGGCTTGAAATTATAATCATTGCATCTTCAATGGGTTCTTTAAATCCTTCAATAACTAAATTGCCGGAAATATTGTTGTGTTTCATATCTGATGACTTTCTGCTACCCGTAGGGTGATCTTCGAGACACTACACATCTCAGACAAAATCTCTTGAGAGCAGTTTTGGCCCTATCTAACTCCAAGGTTTCTTTCTTTCTTATTCTTCTTCTTCTTGGTTAAGCCAGTGCATGTTCTCATGGGAATGGGTAAAGGCTTTTATTCATGTCTTATTTTTGCATTAGTTGTGTAAGAATGGTATATCATGGTTATTATTTCCTACGACAGGTTCTGATTCTAGAATTAGAAAATGTATTTTAATGAATAATTTATAGATCTTTCCAGCTAGGTACAAGTGTTAATTTGCTTTTTCATATAGGCTATGCATGCATGTGGTCTTCTTAACTTTTGTCCAAAAAGAAAAAAATTGATCTTGATTGTCTTTAATGTTATCTGTGAATGGCATAAAACCTATCTTTCATTTAACACACTTGTTTTTATGCTCCCTTATGTAGGAATGTTCCAGATTGAATGAGCAGATGGTTGTATTGTTGCCGGCAGCTGTTTATGCTCTCTGTGCTGGTTGTGCTCCTTTCGCTCATTCTGACAAATGGTTTTCTGCATCAAACCCCTTTTCAGATGTTCCTGAAGCTGCTGAGGACAGGATGAAGGTATGTCCTAGTCATTTCAGTACTTTGGATCTCATATATACAGGTCAATGTTGGCTGGAAGATTGAATTTAAGAGAGTGTAATTTGTAGGCAGAACATGGGCATGAGGGTTTGCGCGAATTTTTTGAATACTCCGTGGACGTCCTTGCAGAAATTAGTCCTGGTTCTGGTGATGAGGTGCTAATTTTTTTAATTCACCTTTTTTTTCTTCCTCTTCTAGTGAAAAGGTACTGTTTGTATTGTGGTTGATTTTTAAATTTTGGTTATCATTGATAATATGCAGGTTGCTGAACCCCAATGCCATCAGAGTGTACGGCTTCCTCGGCAGTTAAGTGACCCATTGCTTCAGGAAATGGAAGCCTACTTTCTTGAAGCTTTTGTGGATAAGGATACTGAGAAGATGCTTCTGTCGGATGTTATATTCACCTGTGCTCTCCTATCTAACTTTATTTACGGTTTAGATATTACAAGGTCTGTCCTATATCTACATTTGGTTATGCTGAGAGCTCAATTTATAATTTTCATCCTTCTATTTCTTTTTTATGAGGTAAGGTTGGTGTCAGTTCTGCACATCTGCCTTTTGTTTTTCAAACTTGTCACGTGGTCAATAGCTCTAGAATTGATGATCTGGGGAACATAAACAAAAAAGGAAGTAAAACTGTAAGTGCTAGCATGGATAACTGTTTGGGTAAAGCAGATGAACTAGAATGACTGAGAATCGAGATTGGGCATCAAACTTCTGAGAATTTGCAGTTCCTCCCTCGAGATAGTAGCTGTATCAGTAACACTAATGAAGATGAGCCCTCTGATATCTCAGATAGATGAGCATGTGATCTAACTGTATCTGTTTGTCCACCACTTCCCTTGTTTGAATATCCTTGTAGCTTGCAAAATGCTCTCAGTCGTACTTAGTTGTCCCATAGGAGTTACAATTTAACTAGTCTTTAATATCAAGCTGAGATTCTCCTTCTTTGCGTGTCTATTTTCAAAAGCAACAGGAAAATCCGAACTGTTCTGTGAGATAGGATGAAGCATCATGGTTCTCCTAGTCTGGTTTTGCTGAATTGATGCATGTAGAAAAACAGCTCTCTACTGAGAGCTTGAGCACGAACTTGATCAAATTCCATGCTGAGGCAAGGCCAACCAAATAATCATTGTACATTCCCTATCAACCACTTTTTGCAACTTAGCAGCATCGGATGGGCAATCAGCCGATACTATAGAGTTCTGTGTATTATTGGGTGATAGTCATATTTCACTGCTTAGTCTCATGAACCTTCTCTCGCAGGTGATGGACTTGAGCATCATTACCTACCTGCAAGTAGGTATGAGCAACAACATTTCAAATCTTCCATGCTGTATCAAGAGATGAAAAAACCATGAGCAATAGGTGGCTACATAGAAGTAATTAACCATGCATCACCACCACAATCCCTGAACGCCATAGATTACGTGTAGTTCCAGCCATTGCTGGCTCTTTTTGTATCTTTTTTAGATAGGTTCATTTAGATGACGAGGGGCAATTGGCAAAGCAGAAAATCTTGACCACGTCAAATATTGCTGCCATACAATTTACGAGACAAACCTATAGAATTAATTGCTCAGCAAGAGTCCCTACACGACTCAATCCAATCCCTTCAATGCCAATGGAAGTAGTACTTGGCTGAGACATTTCCACACAATGTAGAGCACGACGACAAAATTTACTTACAGAAGTTAACAAACTGCTACACCCTGAATAAATTTCTCACGAACCATCACGGTTAATCAACAATACACTTAGCATCATACTTGGACATAGCCAATTCATAAAAAATACCCACAGAATTGATAGTTCCATGAGTTGCAGGCTTCATTCTCTGTATTGTAATCTTTTTATTCAGGCAAAAGATAAATACCCACCCTGGACGCCAATAGAAGCTATACTAGCCTCTGGCATGCCCACACACTAGATAACAACCGCAAAGTTCTCTCCCGGTGAAGATAACAAGCTGCAGCCCCCGCGAACCACTGACAAACTAAACCACTAACACACCCAGCATTATATTTCAATCATGAAAATGNACAACCCAACCTACTCCCTTCGCTGCCAATAGAAGCTATACTAGCCTCTGGCATGCCCACACACTAGATAACAACCGCAAAGTTCTCTCCCGGTGAAGATAACAAGCTGCAGCCCCCGCGAACCACTGACAAACTAAACCACTAACACACCCAGCATTATATTTCAATCATGAAAATGGCTATAATTGATCACAATACCCACAACATATCAATGATAGTGAAATGCTGCTTTTGTTAACTTGAATCTATTGAAATCATTACTGAAGGGGCTAGGCATATCCCTCTGTTTAGATTGTCAAGGGAAGTAAGGCAGAAAGTCCCAAAAGCAGATTTGAAAAATAGGTCTGAAAAGCCGGAAAGTACTTAAAAAATATAAAAAGTAAATGATCTCAAAAAATTCATAGAATCATCATTAAGGCCGGCATAATGATTCAGTTCATGATTTATAGTTCACACATGTTGATGTCGTGTGTTCATGCCATCATAGCATTAATGTGACGTCTGCCATACGACCATACAATTTCTTCCTCAGCAACCCTCAGATGATTGTCCACTGCTTTTAGGGCTTATATTGTTTGATTGTGCTCGATTCTAGGCTTTGATGTGAAGTTGGAAAATAAAAATTGGGCTGGAAGAAGAGAATGAAAGAATACAGAGGAGAGACGAAAGAGTAGAATAAGTTATTAGAGTCATCCCTAGAATAACCATACAAGCCAATACTTAACTAGAAATTTTGTTTTCTCAATCACATGATCGAAGTATTGGCTGAATTTTACCTGCAAGATCTAATACTTTTTCTGGCTGAGTTCTTTGCTCTTTGCTTCTGGCCTTCAATGATTTTTAATGTCTGATACGTTACAAGTTTTTACGGATGATTCTGTAAGTTGAATGTGGTATTTCTTGCGATCTGTTGGATTCTGCTGTCCGTGAGACTGATCCGAGGAAAGCTGTTCCTGATAAGAGTTGTCTCATTTCTATTCTATGTCATCACAGTTGTATTTTTTGTAGTTTAATATTTTCCTTATGTTTGTGCATGCTTCTCATGCTTTTGATTACTTTCAGGTTACGTGAGGAAGCCTCGCCATTTCTCTTTAAAATGGGCCAGTACTTGCTAAAATTGCTGCATCTTGCTGTTACTATCATCGAAAAAACTTACAATGATGTTAGATGTGGTTGTTTGAGCTCTAACTCTACTTTTGATAGCATGGACTCTATCGTAGCTTCTTTCAAAAGCTTTGGTAGCTCTCCTCTTTTTAACAAATGGAGAGATAAAGATGTTATTGATGGTGTACTATCTACTGCAATAATTCAATCCATTGAGAGGCTTTTGAAGGCTCTGGCTAAACTTTATGATGAAAGTTCTGAATGCTCAAGGGATCTTCAGTTTGAGATTGTCCAGCTTGACAAAACAGACTCAAACATTTCTGTTCATGATTCTGTCCAACTAAATACCAATAGAAGTATGATTCTGGACATGGAGTTGGATGTGAATGATGATTTTAAAGATCTGGATTTTTTCACTATTGGTAGGACGATTGGCACTGGCATATCCATTTCTGCAGTGAATTGGAAGATGGACATCATATCATTAATTTCAAGTTTTTTCTCTATATTACCATTTGTTACATGGGAAACCTTGTTCAACCTTATGCAGAAAGAAAGTGACACAAGAGTATGTTACATACATTTTATAGTCTTCTCACATTCTAATGTTTATTTATTCACAATCATATACATAATTTTTAACCTTTAATTTTTGATTAGGTGTTGGAAAATCTTCTAGTTAATCTTTGTCAACATCCTCAATGGTCGTCTTCCCGAAAGTTTTCAGACCTGGTACTGTATTTTATGGGATATTGATTGCAGAAACTTACTAAAAAGGATAATAAGCTACTGCAAATTACTTATTTCTTGAAGATTTTATGCGTCTTTGTATAATTATTGCTGATTTATGTGCTGCTTGTCCTTTTTCTCAGGTTATATCATTGAATGACCTTGTAGATTTGAGAGCAAACCTTAAGCTCCCGTGTCTAGAGATAATTGCTGCCATCTGTTGTTTGCTGCAGACCCTTTTATCACTAGACATGATTGCGGATAATGAGAATGATACTCTGCCTTCAAGGGGAAGAGTACCCGAGCAGGTACCATCAGCACATGTATCTTTATCCTTTTGATGTAGGGATTGTTGATGTATATAACTATTTATATTGCATCATTTCTAACAATTTAAGGTTTTAGATGAGTTGTTGGATTAAGATGGTATCAGAGTAACGGTGCTTGTAAACAACCATCTACTTTAAAAATTTAAACTTTTGGAGAGGGTGTAAATTAAGTATTTATACTTCAACATATCTCCTCACGTGGAGGCTAAACATTGGGTCTGGCACGTGGAAATCTTTTTAATAAATAGGATTAGGGGTGTGCAAGAATCCGAAATTCCAAGACTTCGAATCCGCCAGAGTTGGAGAAAAATTCCAAACTCCAATAGGAGTTGGAGTTTTAAACTATTTCCGAAAAAACTCCAAAGTATGACTCTGATTTTTATTAAATAATAAATTTATATATAAATTTTAAATTATAAAATATATTAGTATAATTTTAAAATCCTATCTATCCAGCCCAACCAGACCAGCGCCTACACTACACCCAAACCAAATCCAACCCAACTCCTAACCCCTCCCTCTCATCTTCGAAGAATCCAGATCTAGACTAGAAGGCAAGAACCCTAAAGCCCCTCCCTCTCATCTACGCCTCCCTCACTCCTAACCCCTCTTAGCCCCCCTCTCTCTCACTTTTCCCAGCGATTAGCGAAACCCATATCTAAAACCTAAAAACATAGAGATTTTTTGGAGCCCTAAAGCGTCTCCCGCTTTCTCTCTTATTTTAACTTAAATCCCTAACTCAGTGATTTGTCGGAGCCTAGATCTTTCTCAACTCTAAGTCTCAACTGCGATTGAAGTTGTTAGTGAAGCTCTCGAGGTCTGAGTCTGCGATTGAAGCTTCATTGTGAAGCTGTAAGAAGGGTTATGGCAAACTATAAGAAGGGTCTGGGTCTGCGAATAAAGCTCTTCTAAGTTTGTATTTGAATATGACACTCCATTACCTCGATAGTCTATGAGGTAAGGTTCTTCGATTTTTTTTACATCTGCTTCGATTCAAATAAGTTGTACTGTTGTTTAAATTTGATACAAATTTGGAGACATTTATGGCATGAAAGATGTATATACAACTTAGAGATTGAAAGATGTAGTATTAGAGTAATGTTCACTAGTGGAATCATTTTGGGGAAATCTATGTTAGTTTGACAATATGATCTAGTTTCAAGTGGAAAATTCTCAACTAGTAGAGCAACATATTTTCTTGTGGGTTTTGATTGTTAATTGCAGATACCGACTACGGTGGATAAATGAGAAAATCATTGAAGTAGAAGATTAGATGAGGGAGATACCAAATATGGGAGACAAAATAAATGATCCACACTCTTATTATCGCTTCTACACATTACACACCGTTGTAGTTGAAGACAATAATTAGGTCTCCTCTTTTGAAGAACCTCATTAGTACTTATCTTTTCACGACTCATGAGAAATTANATTGCAGTTGAAGACAATTATTAGGTCTCCTCTTTTGAAGAACCTCATTAGTACTTATCTTTTCACGACTCATGAGNGTTGTAGTTGAAGACAATAATTAGGTCTCCTCTTTTGAAGAACCTCATTAGTACTTATCTTTTCACGACTCATGAGAAATTATCCATGCACAACCTTGCCCTTTTAAAAGCACTGGCCCTTCCAAATTTTCAATGATGGATAGAATAAAGGAAACAAAAAATCTTCTATAAGAAACTCAAAAAACGACTTGCAAGAAAATAATCCTGAAGAATGACCAATCCAATATCTTCTATCCTCAGAATTTTGAACCAAAGTAATATTATTGAGCAAAGAAAGAAGGCTCATAGGCTTTGAGACTTCCCGATCATTGAGATTCCTATGCAATCAAAATCCCAAGAAATTGGACTCGAATGTTATCTAACCATAGATACAACCAATGAATTATGATAATCAGAAACACGATACAAACGTGGAAAGAGACTTGAGAAAGAAGATTCCCCAACCCATATATCCTCCTAAAAACGCACTTGGTTCCATCTCCCACAATGAATTTTACTTGAAAAGCAAGGTAACCCCAGACAAATAAATCTCTACGGACTCCAGAAAGAGCTTGTTTCAACCCCATTAGCATTCCACCCGTTAGCTTTTGAAAACCTAATAGTGCTTGATTTCTCTTTCCACTTGCATTGTTTGATCATCTTGGACATTCTAAGTTTCCCGTTATGTTAAAAAGTTCTTATAGAAACCAATTGTAGGAAGGTTAAGAAAAGCATCCAGAGTCTAAAATAACACTTGACGTGGTAGTGGTTATATTGCATTTTGAGGAATTATATACAAAATTAAGGGGAAAGAAGACATTAGTAAAATTCATCTTCATGTTCACCTCTCTTTGTTGTCATCTCTTTTGATGGTAATTAGAGTCTATATTTGTCCAAGTGATGGTGAGAAAAAATGATTAATTGTGTTGCTTAGTTTCTAGATTAGCCAAACTTCTTCCTTGTATGATTCCATGAATTTTTTGTTGGTATATTTTCTTGGAAGATTATTAGTGGTGGAATGTTTTCCTAAAGATGACTTGATGAATGTTTATAGTTGTTTGCTAATGTGATTGACAAGCAAGCATTGCTGGCTGCAGAAAACATCAAACATTTATCATAAATTTGTATGGTTTGGAAAATTACTAATATATGTTAAAGAAAAAGACAGTGGCGCGAGAGCATTTCTGAAGTGGCTTCTTTAACTTTTGTTGTTGAGTTTGAAATATTTGGATGAGTACAAATAATTTTTAGAAGGCGATAAGTGGCCTATATTTATGCACATCTCAGGTTTTGGGCATTTATAGTGTCTGCTAGAATTAGTTGGGTGCTCTAATTGTTTGGTGAAAAAGGGTTCCCAACTCTCAACCCTATTCTGACTCATCTTCTTTGTTGACATGCTATTTTAACTCTCCTTGTCTCCATTACTTCTACTGATAAATGTTGTTACCTTGACTGGTGTTTATCAAATATTTATTTTGGATGGATGATTGTCACAAGTCTTTGGTTTTGTTGGAACTTCATAATGACCTAAATGGCATTTTGTCTCTGATGCCATGCTAAACCATCATCTACTCAAAAAACTTAAACTGCTTGAGAGGGTGTGTGTTGAAATATAAATGCTTAAGTTGCACATTTTCCAACAACTTCNTTATAGAAACCAATTGTAGGAAGGTTAAGAAAAGCATCCAGAGTCTAAAATAACACTTGACGTGGTAGTGGTTATATTGCATTTTGAGGAATTATATACAAAATTAAGGGGAAAGAAGACATTAGTAAAATTCATCTTCATGTTCACCTCTCTTTGTTGTCGTCTCTTTTGATGGTAATTAGAGTCTATATTTGTCCAAGTGATGGTGAGAAAAAATGATTAATTGTGTTGCTTAGTTTCTAGATTAGCCAAACTTCTTCCTTGTATGATTCCATGAATTTTTTGTTGGTATATTTTCTTGGAAGATTATTAGTGGTGGAATGTTTTCCTAAAGATGACTTGATGAATGTTTATAGTTGTTTGCTAATGTGATTGACAAGCAAGCATTGCTGGCTGCAGAAAACATCAAACATTTATCATAAATTTGTATGGTTTGGAAAATTACTAATATATGTTAAAGAAAAAGACAGTGGCGCGAGATCATTTCTGAAGTGGCTTCTTTAACTTTTGTTGTTGAGTTTGAAATATTTGGATGAGTACAAATAATTTTTAGAAGGCGATAAGTGGNCGCGAGAGCATTTCTGAAGTGGCTTCTTTAACTTTTGTTGTTGAGTTTGAAATATTTGGATGAGTACAAATAATTTTTAGAAGGCGATAAGTGGCCTATATTTATGCACATCTCAGGTTTTGGGCATTTATAGTGTCTGCTAGAATTAGTTGGGTGCTCTAATTGTTTGGTGAAAAAGGGTTCCCAACTCTCAACCCTATTCTGACTCATCTTCTTTGTTGACATGCTATTTTAACTCTCCTTGTCTCCATTACTTCTACTGATAAATGTTGTTACCTTGACTGGTGTTTATCAAATATTTATTTTGGATGGATGATTGTCACAAGTCTTTGGTTTTGTTGGAACTTCATAATGACCTAAATGGCATTTTGTCTCTGATGCCATGCTAAACCATCATCTANTGCGAGATCATTTCTGAAGTGGCTTCTTTAACTTTTGTTGTTGAGTTTGAAATATTTGGATGAGTACAAATAATTTTTAGAAGGTGATAAGTGGCCTATTTTTATGCACATCTCAGGTTTTGGGCATTTATAGTGTCTGCTAGAATTAGTTGGGTGCTCTAATTGTTTGGTGAAAAAGGGTTCCCAACTCTCAACCCTATTCTGACTCATCTTCTTTGTTGACATGCTATTTTAACTCTCCTTGTCTCCATTACTTCTACTGATAAATGTTGTTACCTTGACTGGTGTTTATCAAATATTTATTTTGGATGGATGATTGTCACAAGTCTTTGGTTTTGTTGGAACTTCATAATGACCTAAATGGCATTTTGTCTCTGATGCCATGCTAAACCATCATCTACTCAAAAAACTTAAACTGCTTGAGAGGGTGTGTGTTGAAATATAAATGCTTAAGTTGCACATTTTCCAACAACTTCAGCATTTGGAGTAGATGGTTGTTTAACTGTTTCAGAGTTTCTTATTCTTGTCTTCTTCCTCCAGTTTCTTGCTTCTTTAATCTGCTGCCCTTATTTTTTTGGGGTCTATCAGATATTGTAACGGCGACAATATTAATCCAGTTACTCCTGATATTGATTTGCAGAGCTTGATATCTCTTGGAGATTTGGTGAGCAAAGTTGCTGAAAATGATCTTTTTCACTGGTTCGGTCGGGTTAAGCTGATTGATTGCATTTGCAATTTCATATTACTTAGACCTCACATTGGCCAGGTTAGCAGCTGTCGGAATAGAGATAGCTTTTTTGTGTTGTTACAGATTTGAGTAGATATGCACCTTTTTGGTAGTTGATGGGAGACTTTCGTCCACTTTTATCTTGTTTGCTTGGCTCTCTTTTAAACATTGGCACTGATCTTTACTTCTAAACATTTGTTGCATGGTTGGTGTGGTGCACACCTAACCAGACCATGATTGAAAAGCTGCTGCTGATGCTCCGAGATCCTGATTATCGAGTTAGGTTTTCCCTGGGAAGACGGATTGGTGTCCTTTTCCAAACATGGGATGGTCATGATGAGCTCTTCCAGGATATATGGTGGGTTGTTACGAATCCGTATTTTTCAGCCTATCTAATCTGGTTTGTTGGACAGTTTTTGTGTCTACATTATATTATATATTGTTTGGCTCTGATGCTTTTGAGACAATGTTTTGCTTTTGTTTTCCATCTCTTTGTATCATTCTCCCCAACTCAACCTTCTTGTGCTCATACTCTATTTTGTGGATCTGATAATCCGTTTCATGTCATTTTGCTTTGCAAGTACACGTTAACTTGAACCTGAAGCCTGCCTTTTGCTGAGGTTGTATTATGGGGTCTCATGGAAATTGAATGGCTAATAAAAAATTTATATTGAATTTGAAGGAAAAATTGTAGTATCTTGAATAAAGCCATCTGGAAAATGGCACCTATCTTGCAAATGATTTTGGAAGTGGATATTTCGAAGTTGAAATTTGATCGCCCAGCAATGAATATGGGGAAGTTTCCAGCTTCTGAATGGCTCCACTTCAAGAGTAGAATTTTTACATTAATTGCAATGGGAAGTGCAGTAAGGTCATTCAAATCCCAAGAGATGCACCTTAAAGTATTTGCTCTAATCTAGAAACTCACCGACACTGGACAACTACTACTTGCTGATAAAATATTAGCACATATCCTGTACTTTTGTTCTATGTCGGTTTTATGGGCTTCCAGCATTGTTGCATACAACTTTGTGTCTTTACCATTTCATTTTGGTTTTTATATCTAAGTTAAGCTTAATGCCATCTCAGTGTATAACACTTGTTTCGTACTTTCAACCTCAATGTTCGGAACCTTATCATACTTGTTTCGTGTATCAATATCTGGTTATACAACCAGAATAAGACCTTTTATCTCATTTTATTTTTTTCTTTTAATCTTTGTGCCTCACATTTGCCGTCCTCAAATTATTTTCATTCACTATTTCGTAGTGAGAATCTACCTTCAAGAATATTTGGAATCCCGCCCCCTAACAAAATTGATCAAAAGCGCCAAAATGGGTGCCGCAATCCATATTCACATTACTCTTTTTTGAAGACTGTAAAAAGTGAAATGTACTTGGATGCAGATCCATCTAATTAATCATTGCCTTCTCCCTCTTTGGATAGAAGAATAAATTGAAAACAACAGGCATTACTCCTAGAAAGAAGTACAAGCACAGCAGAAGTCCTACAAAGGTGGACAGAAAAATATAATNGTTGCCTTCTCTCTCTTTGGATAGAAGAATGAATTGAAAACAACAGGCATTACTCCTAGAAAGAAGTACAAGCACAGCAGAAGTCCTANATTGCCTTCTCCCTCTTTGGATAGAAGAATAAATTGAAAACAACAGGCATTACTCCTAGAAAGAAGTACAAGCACAGCAGAAGTCCTACAAAGGTGGACAGAAAAATATAATACTGCAACAACCAAAACTCCTAGGTTGTAGATATGATGGCCTCTTTCTTAACATATAATTTTCATTCGTGAAGGGTTTAAATTGTCGGTCAGAATTTTGAAAGTTAACAGAATATTAAATAAGCTTAGTGGTCCATATTCTTTAAGTATCAACTATTCAGGTATGTAAAGCAGCCTTGTGGCTCTGCGGCATTAGATACCACCTTCTTTGGCTCGCTTTGTTGCTTTTTTAAGNCCTCTTTCTTAACATATAATTTTCATTCGTGAAGGGTTTAAATTGTCAGTCAGAATTTTGAAAGTTAACAGAATATTAAATAAGCTTAGTGGTGCATATTCTTTAAGTATCAACTATTCAGGTATGTAAAGCAGCCCTGTGGCTCTGCGGCATTAGATACCACCTTCTTTGGCTCGCTTTGTTGCTTTTTTAAGATATTGTTAGCCAAGTGTTTCCTTTTGGTTTTAGTTTCTGCAAATTACTTATGAGCAATTATGCTGTATGGCACAACTCATCATAAAATTCTTTTTGGTTTATAAGCTTTCTAAAGGGTATTTTGGAACCTTCTTTAGTGTATTATCCTTTATTTTGTGCCTATGACATGTAACTCTTTGTATTGCCTTCTTTCAATGTAAACACGAGTGACATGGCACTTGGTTTTCACATTTGAGATAACCTTGAATTGTTAAATGATCTAACTTTTCTTCTTCTGTTATTTCAGTTCAAATTTTGGTGCAAAGTTGGTTGTTTCCTCAAAAAAAGAACTTGTTACTGCTAAGGAGGTTTTAGCTGCTGGTCCTCAGCCTCGTCCAACGATGGAAACCATTATTATTACTCTCATGCATATTGCACTACACAGTGAGAAAATAGAGTTGGAGGTATATTTGTATACTTTTTTTGGGAGTTAATACCACAAAAATCTTCTCTTCGCAATAAAATGAAAAATCTGGACAACTTTTCCATAAAATACTACACAAAGCAGTGCGATTTTTGATTGACTTGAGAAGTAATAGCCAATCAAGCCACTCTAAACCTTATAAATTAAATTATGAACTTCAGCAAAACAACTAGAAAACTTCAAAGGATGCATGCATTGATTCTACCATTCTCCATTTCTTTAAATATCCATGGACTGATGGTTCTGCTAGGCCTGAGAAATTAATAGGTTGGCTGATATGGAATGTTGGCTTCATGGAATTATAATGTGGTAATGCCACATAACACATTCTATCTTAGTATCAAAGGGAGGATTTCTATTTAAATTCAGAAGCAAGTATTTTTTGACCAAAACACTAAGTGTGGAGTTCATAACTTTCTGAATGCCAATGCTTACCTGCTTTCACTCAAAATTTGTACTCATGAACTTCTGTCATTTCTGATGTGTTTAAGTGTTCTATACTCTGTTGTCCTTTAGTCTGTTTTATTTTTAGGCTTGAACACATGTCATGGATTAGTAAGTGTAGCATACAATCCACGATGCCCATGTATTAACCTTGCTTTCTTAGCTTTTTTTTATCTTAATCGTGATTTTTGTGATGCTTGTTTTGTTGCATGAGACAATTAAACTCTGCTTGCTTGATGATTCAAACTCTATTTATTCTTGTTTTGTTGCTTTTGAAAAGTTTGGGCTAACATGAAGCAATAATACACAGTTGTTAAACTTGGTGATGCTAGCCTGTTGTGACATTGTTTTTGTGATACGTTAGTCCTTCGAATTATACTTCTCTTTTCTTTAATATTTTCATTTTCTCACTTTGGATGTATTAAAAAGTTGTGCGCTAGTATATGTCACTGATATCCAAATGTCATATGCAGGCTGTTTTTATGATGTGTGTAGTTGCTGCAATTGATCCTTGTCAGAGGTAACTTTTTTTTACCTAGCTTTCCATAGAGATTGGTTGTATTTTGTCTGTTAACAATAGTGATATTGTGAATTTAGGGAACTGGTGGGTGCAGTGCTTGATAACCTATCAAGACAGCTCCAGTATACTACACGGACAAAGGTGGTTAATGTCCTTTCTCTCTTAACGTTGTTGTGGTCTCATTTGAATGCACACCTATGATTTATTTTGAAATTGTCATTAGAGAGCCAATCTCATATAATTTCCACCTGAAAGCAGTCTCTGGTCAAATCTCTTGACCAATTGGCTCTAATATAAATTCGTCTTGTGTGGACCTTCTAAAATTTTTCAGTATATGGAGGAACTAATGGGGCAAATTCTTTTTTGCTGGGTAGCTTGTGGTGTGAGCTTAGTTGCTCTTGTTGAGGTAAATGTGGTCAACTTTTATCCAGTACGAATTCTCTGACCACGACTGCGGATGTATAAGTGACCAATAATTGTTTATAATTTATTGTCTTCTTTGCAGACAAGGGGCCTTTTTGTCTTGAATGTGGAACCTATTAATTTCATACAGTTTTGTTGCCCTTGGCTTCTTCCAGCTCTTATTTTGCATGGGGACATCTCCAACATGTATTGGATTGCTAAGGTAGAAAAATCCAACTTTTTTCATGTTCATTTTTTAATAGAATGTTGGGACTGTTAGAGTATCCAATCCAAAATCAATTGATATGAGTGGAGAGGCCTTTTAAGCATATAAACTAACCCTGAGTTGTTCTAATCGTTCGATGTGGAATACAAGTTCTCTTTACACTCTCTCTCATGTGGGACCCAAGCTTGCTAGTGGGGGCTAACAAATGAACAGTCAAACATGTATACCGGGAGATTTAAATGGGTAAGAGACTTGACCCACTGATCATCTAAGGCCCAACTCCAATACTATATTAGAGCATCTAACTTAAATTAATTAGTAATGACTTGAGAGGCCTTATAAACTTACCTTCGGATATAGGCTCTCTTTACAGGTAGAAATGTATAAACTGTTTACTGACCTTATTATTCCGAGAAACCATATGACTCTTGGAGTATAGGTTTTGATTTCTCTGGGGTCTAAATTGCTAAATAATCTATAATCAAAATTTAGTTTCTTTGCATTTCCATGTTTTCTATGAGCAACCATGAACATAAAGTTGTTGAAGATAACATTGATATGCGGGTGACTGCTTAAATTGTCTTCATACTTGGCTTATTCAATGTAAGAATATGATTTTGAGTTGATTGTTTTCATGTTGGTTTACTTTGCAGCTTTCAAGTTTCATTTTTCTCAACTAATAAACATTTGCATTATTTTACTGCTGACAAACTTTTTTTTTTTTTTCAGGTTGCTTGTCAGCCTTCCGCAGTTTTGGTTAAAAATCACTTTGTGCCAATCTTTGCGGTGTGTATAACATTGCATTGCAGTAAGAAATCTGGGTGGGAAAAGGGAGCAACAGTACTGCAGAGTTCAATTCTGAGTATTGCTGAGATGTCTGAGAATGAAAGGGACAAACTCATAAGGAACCATACGGTTTGTTCTCCTTTCATTTGGAAAGCACTTACTTAGAGTTATGACGAAATGAGCTGTTGTACTTATTCAGTTTTATCTCCGCGTACTCTGGTTTTTTGGAATCATCCTTTTTTGTTAGGAACAATTAGAGCACGATGTGAGCAGCTCATGCTCATTTTGGGCTTAGCCCTGTTTTTCCTAGTTTAAATTGCAAAACGAACCCAATCTGATAAGATTTGTAAGATTTTTTATATAAACGAACCGAACCCAAACTAGGTGTGGTACCACTCAAATAGGTTCCAGTCTATCAATGCAATTCTAATTTCATTGCCAAGCAGGCCATATACAAAATATGAATAGCTCAAATTTATTCATAAATAGTTCTTGGGAAATTTAAACTTCTAGGGTTTGATTTTATAGTCGATTATACAGATTTTGGAGGATATTTTTGTTTGAGAAATCAATTATTCTAGGATTGGCTATTAAGTTCAGGGGTTTTATTTATAGAAATTTTTTTGTAGAGAAATTAAGATTGCCGAGTTGAGCTTGCGCATGAATCTGAGTTCGGCCAATCACAACCCAGTTGGTTCAAGGAGTCTCGCTCAATCAGATTATTGTTCTTGTTAGAACATCCGATTCAAATCCAATTGACAATGAGTGGAGAGTCTTACAGGTTTATTAGTTTGATGGGTNTAACAGCCCTTATCACACAATCAGATTATTGTCCTTGTTAGAACATCCGTTTCAAATCCAATTGACAATGAGTGGAGAGTCTTACAGGTTTATTAGTTTGATGGGTTNCAGATTATTGTTCTTGTTAGAACATCCGATTCAAATCCAATTGACAATGAGTGGAGAGTCTTACAGGTTTATTAGTTTGATGGGTTTTATTTTGCCGATGGCGGATAAGCTCTAATAGTTTCTGTCGATGGTGGAAATGGATCTTTTTTTTTCCCAAAAAGAGCCACACATTTTGATATGACCAAGCCTTACAATTTTTTTCCCTTAGCTTAATAGGTGGAATTTGGGTTTATCACTGGGATTTGATGGAGGTCGATGGATTTTCTTGATGGAGATCAACTCCGGGAGACCCATCACCAAATTTGAACCGAGGGCCCATTGACAGGTTTGAACTTAGGAACATTAATAGAGCTTTGATGGGGGTTAGTGTTGACTTTTTTTTCCAGTGGAAGGCCATTTGGAAATGTGACGTGCCTTCCAATGTGGGCTTCTTTGTGTGGACAACAACATTGAAGGGAATTTACTCTTAGTAATAACTGGTGTAGGGGTGAAACGGATTCCTACTGGTGGTGTATGTCTGCAGGAGTGGTGGAAACCACTAATCCTTGCTTTTGCACTGTGGTGTGGATACTTATTTTGTCCTTGTCTTGAATTTCTTTTGGTGATGCTAGAACAGTTGTGGATCTTTTGTGTCGTTGGATGAGGGTGTTAGGAAGGTAGGCTAAGGAGGCCTTGATGTTAGATTTGACTAGGTTTTTTCTTATACTCTTGGAAGGCTCTGGTCTTGTGTTGGGCTTATTGAACTTTTACGGAGCTTCAGGGAATAATTGCATGTTCTCTTTTTGGATATATGCAGGTCCTTCAAGTTTAGGGTTTTATTTTGTTGATTTTTTTTGCTATCCGTACATCAGTGATGGTTCCTAGAACCCTTCAATTCAATTGTGGAGGTGGTCAGTTCTNGAGGTCCTTCGAGTTTAGAGTTTTATTTTGTTGATTTTTTTTGCTATCCGTACATCAGTGATGGTTCCTAGAACCCTTCNCAGGTCCTTCAAGTTTAGGGTTTTATTTTGTTGATTTTTTTTGCTATCCGTACATCAGTGATGGTTCCTAGAACCCTTCAATTCAATTGTGGAGGTGGTCAGTTCTTACCATGATTTTAAAAACCTTCAAGATTTGAAGTAGAAGTAGAAGTAGAAGTAGAATGAAGTAGATCTAAGGTCAGATTGAGAAATGGGAGGATTTTTGTGTTTGAACCCAGCAAAGTTTTGGGCCTTGATTGACCATTCTCGTCTGTTATTTTTATCGGACCCTTGTGCCCTTTCATAGTCATCCCTGACTTTTTGGCCAGTAATGTGCCTTTAACAACTAAAGGTAAGGCTTCACTAGTGATATCCCGGGAGCTGTAACTCATGGTCTCCCTTTGAAGACGCTAGGGGCGAGAGTTATCAAACCATGCAGTATATTGGCCATTATGCTATGTAATGGGTTTTTTGGATCCCTCATTCTGACTGGGTTTTATGCCACATCGTACGGTTAATTTTGTGGAAGGAGAAAAACTTATGCTTTTAAAGATCAAAAGGAGCATTTCCTCACTTCTATGGTTGGGCTCGTGTGTGTTTTTGTACTTCTAGTTGAGGCTCATTTGAATTTGATTGACAGTTGTTTGGAGGAATCCTAGTGGATTTGTCGCTGGGGGTATCACGCGACTTGAAGGGTTTTATTTTCTTTTTTATTGTCTTCCTTTCATAGACCCCTAATTTGAAGATGTTTCCTGCTCTCTGTGATTTGAAGATATAAGAAACTGAGTTAATCCTTCCAAAGGAGGAATTCATTCAAGTTGTTTGAACTGTAATCTCATTATTGGGTTAATTTTATCGATGTTAAAGTAACTGTAATGAAGCCTTTCATTTGCTTCTTGAAAATTTGGTTTACAAAAATATTTTGAATTCTTTGGTTGGCCAACTCAGACATTCTGTTTGCTAATGGGGTTGCTACAGATTCACTGGAATTTGTGGGGACACCACATTTTTCCAATTCCTACTTTCTGTTTTTCTCAATTCGATTGCATTCTCTGAAGTCCTTTTCCTTACCTACTTGTTTTTATTGTGTTTCTGTTTTTTCTTCTCTTTATTTGTTCTTCTTCTCCCTTTCCAAACACCATCTTGATTGCTTCTTTGCACCGACTACGGTGCTTCAGCTTCCATTTTGCCCGTACATTTTTTTCTTTTATTTATTAAACACATGAATAAATAGCTAACTATATATCATATCCGACTTCTCCTTTATTGCCGTTCTATTCCGGACAGCACGAGTTGTGCTCTATCAAAACAAAATTTATATTTTCTATTCAATGAAAAAAGGAAGCACGCAAATTTCCTGCGAATTTCCTATTGGCAACATAAACATATATAAAAAAGATACCAGATTAGATATCTGAGTAACAATTTCTGTTTTGGGGTTTACATATACTGATAATTGTTGGTGTTCGTTAGATTAATAAATACCTTAAGGGATGCTCTCAGAGTCACATAAATATATTGGCTTGGACGAGTAATTTTATGTCGTCAAACACTTTAAGGTTTCCCCTGGATTCTCCTTCCACTGTTGAAGAAGAGAGCATGTGATGCAATCAGGCCTACATTGACCAATAACTTCATTATTCATTTAATGAAAAAGAGTAAGAAGGAAAAGAGAACATATAAGCGAGGATGGTACACATTTCCATTCAACAAGACATGCTTCCGCAGTTATTGGAAACTAGAAGATACGGGAAGGCAAATTTTTTAAATTTTATGCCCTTTTCATTTTGTTACTCGTAAAATATGTGTGATTTCTTTATTTGTTCCTTTAAAATCACTATGATTTGGGCTTAGCAAGAAAACCCAGGTTTGGTGAGGAGTGCTGAATCTGGGTATTTACCTTTTGTTTTTCTTCTTTCTTGTAACAGTGAGTCACATCATGGTTCATGGATAAGACAATGCTTGTATGTTCCCTATTGTGTCTCTTTGTTATTGTCGTCGACATCATCAATGGTTTTTCATTTTTCTCACACTTTTAAGGAATTGTCATGTAAGAATTCGGTGTCACTTTTTGGAGAAAATACTGCTTCCTTTAACATAGGAAAATTTTGACTGAAAATTTTTGAATTTGCTTGGGTTTCCTTGAAAATGAGAAGTATGCAATTGTCCATGTTTACCCAATTTGACAAATGCTGTAAACTTGTGGTGGTATTGCCAATTTGGCAAATTTGGCTTCTATGTTTATCATTTGAATTGTTGTTTTAGAGAAATTTGATGTCTAAGCATATGTTGTGTTTATCTCAATCAAGTTAGTTTGTTGAGGCAGTTCTTTCTTTTATTTATTTTGCACTTCTGCTTTCATTTTGTTTGTAGGTTTCTATTGTCAACCATATCTGTTCTCTTGCTTCTTGTGCTTCAGACCCAGTACTTCCATTCTTTTGCAAGGATGCGGTTGAGAATGCTATTCAAACAGTTGTTGATGGATTCTTGGAGATGTGCAATACCTTCTCTGGGCTCTCCAATTTATGCTGTGTTATTCATGAAGTTATAATGTCTAAGTGTCCTTTGTTCATTGTTGTAGGGAGGATCATACTAGAATCTCTGGCATTCTTGACAAGATTAACATTTTCCGCCCAGATAGAGTATTCATGGTGATATTGCAGTATCTTATGTTTATTTGTGTTCTTATTTTTTATCTTTATCATTGCCCCCATCATCTTACGCACCTTCTATGATATACTATGCGTGTTCTGAAATAATCCATTATCATGATTATGCAGTTTATAGTTGAAATGCATTACAAAATTACAGCAGCAGTTCATTTTCGACACAAACGAAACAGGTTGGCCGGAGTTGAGGTGCTAGTTAATGTTCTTGGGCATAGAGCTGCAGTTTCTAGCACTTCGAAGTGAGTTCTTGCATTTTTGGCTTTCCAATTTGTTTTAATCTTGGGAAAAGCTTTGTTATGGATCTTTCAATATTCTGTGGTCATGGCTATCGTCGGATGTGCACCCTGAAAACTATAATCAATTGCTCCATGTGCCTTGTTGTGCTTTGCATTCTTCTTTTATTCTCAAGTTTTAAGATCTCTTGAGATGATAAATTGGTGCTTATACTCATAGTTAGTAGGATCGTACGATATGCAATACGATATGTTTCGATACATGAAGAAAACGATACGTATCGCTTAAATGTATCGGTTTGTATCGTATCATGTAATACATTGTACAATACACTCAATATAAGACGATACGTTCAAGTTGTTCGATACAATATGAAACATATTAAACAAAAAATTATTGAATTTAACTAAAAAACGACGCATTTTTACNTGTTCGATACAAGATGAAACATATTAAACAAAAAATTATTGAATTTAACTAAAAAACGACGCATTTTTACTTAGTGTCTTATTTTTTATTCGTTCCATCATTGGAGCAAATAGTTTGATTGTTAAAAGTGTTATCGTTTGGCTACTGTAGATGTTAGAATTAGAAGTTTCTAAATTTTGATATTAATGAATTATGTTAGAAACTNCCATCATTGGAGCAAATAGTTTGATTGTTAAAAGTGTTATCGTTTGGCTACTTTAGATGTTAGAATTAGAAGTTTCTAAATTTTGATATTAATGAATTATGTTAGAAACTTCAAGACTTAGATTGTTAATTTTTTATTTTGGTCCTTCCGGTCTATATAAATTATTTTATGCGAGAAATTTGTAATGTAATGAAATGTTATTATGGCATTTTGTCATAAGTATATGTATTTTTTAAAATCATTTATAAAACTGCACGTATCTAACGATACACTGGTGTTTAAAATTGATATACGTTTTGACAACCTTGGTAAACCATTTTCAAAGAAAGAGGGGAGTATTGGTGTTGGTTCTCATTCCATCTTGTTGAGTAAAAGTAGGTTTGCTCCCAAATGTATGCTTGTGCCCTATAATCCCCCTGGAAAGGGCCTCTCAGATGTGGATATACATGAGCCTAGTCATGCCTTGTGGAAGGTTGGTCAATCCTTTAAGAGAAAGGTTGAACTTTTTTGACTTTTGAGTCAGCCTGATAACTAAATAATATTTTGTAGAAAGAAGGGGGCTGTGTGTTGTTTCTGTAGTTATATGCCAATTGATGTTAGGACGTATTTGTCTACCTTGCAAAAGAAAGGAGGTCGCTTTTGGAGTTTTGCAATGTTGTCTGTAATGTAAATGCTACTTAGAAAATGGAACTTTTGAGTTTTTTATTTTCGTCACAGCATCATCCTGCCGTTTTCTGCAATATTGAAAGAATTGGTGGGAATTGTTTGNATGAATAAATAGCTAACTATATATCATATCCGACTTCTCCTTTATTGCCGTTCTATTCCGGACAGCACGAGTTGTGCTCTNGTGAATATATAGCTAACTATATTTCATATCCGACTTCTCCTTTATTGCCGTTCTATTCCGGACAGCACGAGTTGTGCTCTATCAAAACAAAATTTATATTTTCTATTCAATGAAAAAAGGAAGCACGCAAATTTCCTATTGGCAACATAAACATATATAAAAAAGATACCAGATTAGATATCTGAGTAACAATTTCTGTTTTGGGGTTTACATATACTGATAATTGTTGGTGTTCGTTAGATTAAGAAATACCTTAAGGGATGCTCTCAGAGTCACATAAATATATTGGCTTGGACGAGTAATTTTATGTCGTCAAACACTTTAAGGTTTCCCCTGGATTCTCCTTCCACTGTTGAAGAAGAGAGCATGTGATGCAATCAGGCCTACATTGACCAATAACTTCATTATTCATTTAATGAAAAAGAGTAAGAAGGAAAAGAGAACATATAAGCGAGGATGGTACACATTTCCATTCAACAAGACATGCTTCCGCAGTTATTGGAAACTAGAAGATATGGGAAGGCAAATTTTTTAAATTTTATGCCCTTTTCATTTTGTTACTCGTAAAATATGTGTGATTTCTTTATTTGTTCCTTTAAAATCACTATGATTTGGGCTTAGCAAGAAAACCCAGGTTTGGTGAGGAGTGCTGAATCTGGGTATTTACCTTTTGTTTTCCTTCTTTCTTGTAACAGTGAGTCACATCATGGTTCATGGATAAGACAATGCTTGTATGTTCCCTATTGTGTCTCTTTGTTATTGTCGTCGACATCATCAATGGTTTTTCATTTTTCTCACACTTTTAAGGAATTGTCATGTAAGAATTCGGTGTCACTTTTTGGAGAAAATACTGCTTCCTTTAACATAGGAAAATTTTGACTGAAAAATTTTGAATTTGCTTGGGTTTCCTTGAAAATGAGAAGTATGCAATTGTCCATGTTTACCCAATTTGACAAATGCTGTAAACTTGTGGTGGTATTGCCAATTTGGCAAATTTGGCTTCTATGTTTATCATTTGAATTGTTGTTTTAGAGAAATTTGATGTCTAAGCATATGTTGTGTTTATCTCAATCAAGTTAGTTTGTTGAGGCAGTTCTTTCTTTTATTTATTTTGCACTTCTGCTTTCATTTTGTTTGTAGGTTTCTATTGTCAACCATATCTGTTCTCTTGCTTCTTGTGCTTCAGACCCAGTACTTCCATTCTTTTGCAAGGATGCGGTTGAGAATGCTATTCAAACAGTTGTTGATGGATTCTTGGAGATGTGCAATACCTTCTCTGGGCTCTCCAATTTATGCTGTGTTATTCATGAAGTTATAATGTCTAAGTGTCCTTTGTTCATTGTTGTAGGGAGGATCATACTAGAATCTCTGGCATTCTTGACAAGATTAACATTTTCCGCCCAGATAGAGTATTCATGGTGATATTGCAGTATCTTATGTTTATTTGTGTTCTTATTTTTTATCTTTATCATTGCCCCCATCATCTTACGCACCTTCTATGATATACTATGCGTGTTCTGAAATAATCCATTATCATGATTATGCAGTTTATAGTTGAAATGCATTACAAAATTACAGCAGCAGTTCATTTTCGACACAAACAAAACAGGTTGGCCGGAGTTGAGGTGCTAGTTAATGTTCTTGGGCATAGAGCTGCAGTTTCTAGCACTTCGAAGTGAGTTCTTGCATTTTTGGCTTTCCAATTTGTTTTAATCTTGGGAAAAGCTTTGTTATGGATCTTTCAATATTCTGTGGTCATGGCTATCGTCGGATGTGCACCCTGAAAACTATAATCAATTGCTCCATGTGCCTTGTTGTGCTTTGCATTCTTCTTTTATTCTCAAGTTTTAAGATCTCTTGAGATGATAAATTGGTGCTTATACTCATAGTTAGTAGGATCGTACGATATGCAATACGATATGTTTCGATACATGAAGAAAACGATACGTATCGCTTAAATGTATCGGTTTGTATCGTATCATGTAATACATTGTACAATACACTCAATATAAGACGATACGTTCAAGTTGTTCGATACAATATGAAACATATTAAACAAAAAATTATTGAATTTAACTAAAAAACGACGCATTTTTACTTAGTGTCTTATTTTTTATTCGTTCCATCATTGGAGCAAATAGTTTGATTGTTAAAAGTGTTATCGTTTGGCTACTGTAGATGTTAGAATTAGAAGTTTCTAAATTTTGATATTAATGAATTATGTTAGAAACTTCAAGACTTAGATTGTTAATTTTTTATTTTGGTCCTTCCGGTCTATATAAATTATTTTATGTGAGAAATTTGTAATGTAATGAAATGTTATTATGGCATTTTGTCATAAGTATATGTATTTTTTAAAATCATTTATAAAACTGCACGTATCTAACGATACACTGGTGTTTAAAATTGATATACGTTTTGACAACCTTGGTAAACCATTTTCAAAGAAAGAGGGGAGTATTGGTGTTGGTTCTCATTCCATCTTGTTGAGTAAAAGTAGGTTTGCTCCCAAATGTATGCTTGTGCCCTATAATCCCCCTGGAAAGGGCCTCTCAGATGTGGATATACATGAGCCTAGTCATGCCTTGTGGAAGGTTGGTCAATCCTTTAAGAGAAAGGTTGAACTTTTTTGACTTTTGAGTCAGCCTGATAACTAAATAATATTTTGTAGAAAGAAGGGGGCTGTGTGTTGTTTCTGTAGTTATATGCCAATTGATGTTAGGACGTATTTGTCTACCTTGCAAAAGAAAGGAGGTCGCTTTTGGAGTTTTGCAATGTTGTCTGTAATGTAAATGCTACTTAGAAAATGGAACTTTTGAGTTTTTTATTTTCGTCACAGCATCATCCTGCCGTTTTCTGCTATATTGAAAGAATTGGTGGGAATTGTTTGAAAGTACATTGCTAATGATAACCTCTAGGTTCTCTACGACAATATTTCATGTACTTTTGCATATTTTATTTTCCCCCTTTATAATGCAATTAGAAGNAATATTGAAAGAATTGGTGGGAATTGTTTGAAAGTACATTGCTAATGATAACCTCTAGGTTCTCTACGGCAATATTTCATGTACTTTTGCATATTTTATTTTCCCCCTTTATAATGCAATTAGAAGAGTTTATTGGATAGTGGTGTTGAATCAGAAACCTTATGTTGTTTTTATTTTGTCAAACATGAAAGTAAGGGTAATGTAGGATGTGTGGGCATTGTGTTTACTGGAATTGTCTGGACTGGACCCAATAGGGTTAGGTTTCTTTACTTTTTCTCAAGGTTGGCAGGCTCTCTTGGCTTATTATATGATTCAAGCCATAGAATTCAGGCTCTGTAGTTTGTGAAAATTCAAATTATTTGGACGATGTCGGAATTGTGTATCGTCTTATGCTACTTTTCAGTCTCTGCGAGTAGGGCAGACATTAAAAATGGCTGTTCCCTATTGAAGGTTTTTTTTTCCCGTGAGATTGTTTTGTGGTTTCATTTTCTACAAGATTTTCCCGTGTCTTTTTTTTTCTCTTTTTTGTTTGGTATTTTTTGAAGGGAAAAGAAAAAGGGGGGGAGCTGTTGAACCTTCCTCGCTTATTAAATTGGCTGTCATCATTGAAAGATATGCTGGACCATGTCTCCATTGAATCCTGTTAACCTTAACTTTCTGGTCACAAAATTGCATACTCCCGGTGTTTCCTTGGTCTTTTCAGTTCTCCAGTAAGATTTTGTTGTTTAGGTCTGTTAAGGCTTTTAGCCACTAAGCAAAAACTTTGAACTCTGAGGACGCTCCCCAGTGGAGCAGTAAAGTTGTTCCATTTTGACCTGCNAGTTTAGGTCTGTTAAGGCTTTTAGCCACTAAGTAAAAAATTTGAACTCTGAGGACGCTCCCCAGTGGAGCAGTAAAGTTGTTCCATTTTGACCTGCACATCACCGGTTCGAATCATGGAAATAGGCTCTTTGCATGCATCCAGGGGTAATGTTTCATACATATGACCCTCCTTAGGCCTTGCAGTGGTGGAATCTTCATGCACCGAGTTGTCTTTTTTGTCGAGGAAAGGAAGAAACACTGGAGTTTCTTGAGGCGTGGGTGTCACTATGAAATTGGAAGGAAGGTTGTGTACATAGCTATGCAATTCGTTATCTAATCTTTTATTTTGGCAGTTACATTTTCAACTTGGTGGGCCAATTCATCAGCTGTCCTACTTTAAGAGATCAAAGTTGTTCTATTTTATCGACATTGCTCAAAACTTTTAGAAGTAACCCATCAAAAGAGACTACTTGTGTTCTAGGTGAACTTATTCAGGTAATCACCTTTTGTTATTTATAGTTATTTTTCATTATTTGTCTTAATGTTATGTTCTAAAATGTTTGCCAATATGGGGCTGCAGTTTTTGGTATCTAAGTTGGTTGAATGTTGCACTCCCACTGATTGTATTGGTGAAAATTTCATCAACAATTTGTCTGAAGTCCTGTCACTGCTTCATCAGCTTACTGTGGAATCTGATCCGTCTCTGCATCGTTATCTCAAAGTATAATTCTGTCTCATTGACTGAAGCATAATCTTCTTATGATGGGATGTGGAGATGTTTTGGGTTTTTAGAAATCTTTTCATCCATATAAGACTTTGATATACATGGTTTCAAGTCTTCCGATTAGATATTTTTAAATGCACTTGATATGGAGTTATCGCTACTCATTTATGCAAATAACTTTTGTCAGGAGTTGGAACCATTCCCTGAATTAGATGTATTNTGTTCTTGCACTTGATATGGAGTTATCGCTACTCATTTATGCAAATAACTTTTGTCAGGAGTTGGAACCATTCCCTGAATTAGATGTATTTGATAGAATACGGAAGTTCCAGCAGGACTTATCCGAAGATTACTCACCCAGAGATCACTTGTTGAAGGTAGACTTTCAAAACTTATACGAATTAGTCCATTGGTTTTTGATTTCATTGTTCTGATCATACCTACAGTATGTTTCCGTCGTTTTCTTTTTGTTTCATTCTATTAGGTTGTATGGTACTAACATATACAATTTGCTATTCTACAGTTTGTGCAAAGATCTTGCTACCTTCCGCCGAGATTACTTGTGTGGAGGTGCTTGCCTTTCCCTTATTTAACATGCAGATGCAGTCCATTTTTGTTAATTTTTTTACTGTAAAAAAATTAACAATTAAATCTTGGGCTTACCTTTATCATTGAATATTGTTATTTGTTTATGATATTACCAATATAAGCTTCTCTTCCTACAATTTTTCATCATTCTCACTATCTGTTTTTTTTTCTTTCATAAACTTTTCTTGATTGTTCAGGAGTGAAGTAGTCACTAAATTTGTAAATTGGTAGTATACTATCAACTTTTAAAGAAGATGTTTAGTGGTTGCAAAGGGCTAAAAGGGTAGGGATACTTCAAAAAATTGAGGGTTTTCAGTGTAATAGTAGGATAATTGAGTGGCCCAAATGAAAAAGGTTTGCCACAGTTAAGAAAAACTGTATCAAATTATGTGAATTATCACTTACTATAACCTGCTGCAATGCCCTCATCGATGGATTTGTTCATGCAGTCTGAAAGCATTGCACAAGAAGTTGTTCATGGGGGAAACTAATCAGAGAGACCTGGATGGAGAAGATATTTACAAAACAGCATATTGGCACTCCGACCATGAAATTGTACATGCTGTCTGGACTCTAGTTCACATGTGCAGTTTGGATGACACACAGAGTTTTGGAACATTGGTTTCAGATTTTGTTTCTAGGGTATTAGTCTTAATTTTGTTTCACTTTAAAATTAACTTGATGGATTGTTTCACCTTATTGGGGTTGGATTCAGAAATTACCTTCTGCTAATTGTGACTGCAGCTTGGTATTGGTGATCCGCATCGTGTTGTTTTCCATCTTCCTGGGGATTCTTGGCATATACAAACTTGCCGACTGCCTATTTCTGACAGTGCTACTGAAAGCTGTTTTGTCATGGATACGGGCATTTCTGATGAACTTTTAAATGCACTTATTAGGCTTTTGAAGAAGTATTTGATGGATGATTCAGTTAAAATAATTGATATAACCTCACAAGCTTTACGAGTGAGTCTATAAAAATCCACTTGGATTTGCTTATGTTTCTTAATGTGGAAAAAGAAACTAACCCTATTGCTATTCATGAGTTTGATACATGTGCATTGATTTACTTTGCCTTACCCCACCCCACCCGGACAAGAAAGTAAATAAATAAATAAATAAAAGAATGTGCATTGATTTTGTCATATCCGTGTGTGCCTAACGTTATAAGAGGAACTGTGGTTGGTATTTGTTTTTTNTGGACAAGAAAGTAAATAAATAAATAAATAAAAGAATGTTCATTGATTTCGTCATATCCGTGTGTGCCTAACGTTATAAGAGGAACTGTGGTTGGTATTTGTTTTTTGATCACGTTTATTATTAGAATTCACCTTCGACTTTTTGTAACTACGTTAAACAATAAGAGTTTTTTCTTAGCAGCTTGTTTCTATGGTCATGTTATTTGTGATTCCGCTACGTTTCTTAATCTGTTGTTATCATCTGCTTATATCTATGATCTCTTAGTTCAAAATTGCTAGGTTTATCAAGGTGGTGGTTCAAATTTTTCTGTGGGGGTGACTTCTGGTCAGCTAATACACTGGAACATTTTGTAAAGTTAGCAGGAATGACTTAATATTGGGATGTATGAAAACATATAGAAAGACTAACCAACAATTCTAATGCATAGGTAAACTCTAATGATCTAAATTCGGTCGATTCAGTTAGAAAGTGGAAACAAATGGTGAAGGAAAAAAAGATTCAAAGAGAACACCCCCCCCCTCCCCCTCACCCCAAAAAAAAAAAAAAAAAAATATTGTTGCATTCTTCGAGATAAGAGATTTGTTATATTCATTACCTCTTCTGATTCAAACAATTGCCGATGGGACTTTAATTGAAAGAAGAGATATGCGCAATATGTTACAAGCATAAGGATGCTGCTTGCTCTTGACAACTCAAGTACTGAATCGGCTGTGGTACTGTCAGGCTTTACGGCATATCCGAACACCNAAAAGAGAGTGAAAATTCTCCATCTAAGATCCTTCTCACCTTTAAGGTAACTGTTTCAGATGTCGACCTAAAGATAACAACGGAAACACCAAAGAAGCCTCAGTCTATCCATTGTAGTTGGCATTAATACAGGCTTTAAAAATATTAATTTTAGTACTACTGAAGGGATTAGATTCATATTAATACTCAAAATTTTGATTTTTTTAGTGAGAATATTTACTCTATTGAAGGAAACCCTTCTTATGACAAGTTGACTGATGGATCTAATTGTAAGTTAATAAATACTCTCTCAGTATAGGTGGACCCAATTTTTTTCTTATTTATGTATGATTAATTTGATTGTTCTTTCATGCAGAATAATCAAATCCCTATGAATATCCTGCAAACATATTTTCGCATGGAATTACTGTTTTTCTTTTCAATAATTGTCTCTTGAGGTAGAAGCCGGGTTGCCTGGCAGAAGGTCAATAATTAGGCTGTAGGGATGGTGTAATAGCTACAGTCGATGCCTTAGACATTCATTTGTGTTTGTTACCAATTAACATGGCTGTGTCACTTGGAGGACACTACACTCCATCAGTGTATTCACTCTTCTTGTTCTTCATCCTGGGTCTTTGAAACTTGTCAAAGTGGTCTGTTTGGTGTACCAAAATGATAGACCATAAGAGAAGAGGGATCTACATCTGGTATTGCTGCTCTGAAGCTTATAATTTGGGTAGATATACTTGGAAGTTTTAGTGGCTATTGCTTGGTTCAATGGTAAAATGTTTAGGCTATCAAGTGTGAGAAGGTGAGTTTGCATCCGAGAGAGCAGCCACTTTATGTTATGTGGGAAAGTTTAGCCCTGTATCTCGTCTCTCCCTCGTAGCACTTTGTGTGAGCAGAACTACATTGGGTAGTGGCCTGTAGTTGGTAGTGGGCTACTTTATTTCGGATGATGAATGCTGTCACATATGAAGGGCATTGCCCCATGTAGATTAAGCATTTGTGGCTTACTTGGAGGCAAAAACCAGGTGCAGACCTGAATTCTTGTGTTAATGGCCTGGGTGGCTGTAGACTGTAGTTATATGCCTTTTTGTACTTGTTAACCCAAGCTTTAGCATTTGCATCGAGCAACAACCATAATGAATGCTGTCAAATTTGGATGAAGAGAAATATTTAGTCCATTCTCAGATTTTCCTTTATTGTGGTGCATACCTTTTTAGAAGGATTTGATTTACGTAACTTTTGAGCTAAAACTGGGGATTTTGATTTTCATGGTGCTTGCTCAGGTTAACTTATGATACTCATCGTTGTATCGAGCTTTGAGAGCTTGAACATTGATAGCTTTGAGAAACTTATAACTATTACATATCCTTTCATGAACCAGGGGATACTTTCAACTGAAAGGGGTCAAAGAGCTTTACTGTCGTTCAATTCTTACGAGAGGTCTCTTATCGAGGTAGAGCATTTCATTTTCCGTTATAGTTATTCAATCTCATCCTGTTTTGAAGTGATGAATTACGTCACAGGTCCTAGAGTCTTTAATTGGCTATAAAAAAAATAGCTCCATTTTTTAACAATTGGCTTGCAATGATAATGGTGAGAACATATTGATAGAAAATAGTAACAAGCCTCTTGTTAACCATGCTTATTGCATACACAAAAAACCTGCTGCTGTTGGTACATGGATCATGATGGAAATATATAGACCCATGTGGAGTTACACTTCTGTAACATTGCATGTGGAACCCCAGATTCTGTCTCCAGCTGGCTGGATCATTTTTCTTTTTTCTGCTCTTTTTTTTATCTATATGTTTCTTACTCAAACTTTTACTCTGTTGTTTTTTCCTTTCTTTTTTTTTCATTTTTGTGTGCTTTTTTTTAGGGGGGGGGGGATTCGGCATTTTAATACACTTGTTTCCGAGACTTGAAACCATAGTTCAAGGTATCGGCCGAGTCCGATACGACTCAGCCGAGTCGTATCCGACTCGGCCTATGGCGATACGATAACGGTACACGAAACGTAGAAATCACGAATTGAACATATATCGCCGATATCGTCCAAAAATGAAGGACTCGGTGTTCAATCGCTTCAACTCGGCCGAGATAAATTGGAATCTTGCCGAGTCGACGAAGTCAGTGAACAAAATTGCAGAAATCACATGAACCCTGAAATCTAAAACCCTCTTTTTCAACTATAAAAACGAAAAATATTAAAGATTCAACATACCAGCAGGTCTGCATATTCATCTGTTTTCATCTATTTTTGTGTGAAATCAGGATACTTCGGTTCTTTGTTGAGATCTTCTTCGGTTCTTCGTGAGTCGATCTCTCTCTGTGTTGGTTCTCTCAGTCGGTGAGGGACCGTGGTGGTCTCGTCTCTGTCTGCACCTATCTCTCTCTCTCTCTCTCATCGTGACTGAGAAGACGAGAAGTCTTTGTCTGAGACTCTGAAGAGGTTTTTGCCTGAATTATATGCTGGGTCTGCTGTTTTTTTTTTTTGTGTGAGTGTTGTTTAAATATTAATACTTGTCTTAAAAGTAATATAAAAATAGTAGATCAATTGGGTAGAGATGCAAATTGGCACCTTGCAGGTCACTGGTTCGATTTCCTCCAACAGTCTGTTTTACATTATTTTATAAGGATCACTGGTTCGATTCCCTCCAACAGCCTGTTTTACATTATTTTACAAAGATTGTTGTTTAATGATCAAAAAAATTATAACTTTAATCTAATAATTAGATACATTAATATTTTATAATAATAAATAAGTGGGTATAAGTTATATTTTTTTTTGATAAAAAATATATGTACTATTTCAAATGATGTAAAATTAAATGTTACAATTAAATTATTTTTATATTTAAGTTACGTATTTATTGAATAAATATTACAAGGATTGTTGTTTAATGATCAAAAAAATTATTTCACTAGCGATTTTATGTTTCATTTTAATTATGTTTAATGTGTTTTTCGATGTATTATGGACATATGATGCATAAATGATGATGTCTATTTTTTTATAATTTTCTATAATTTTTTCGAACTTTTTTGGAGCTTCTATTTTGCGTTTTGAGCGTATCGGCCGATACCGCGTGCAACGCCGCGACCGATGTGTATTAGTACCCTCCAAGTTGATGACCGATATCGCGACTTTGAACCATGCTTGAAACCTGCTACTTTCACCTAAGCAACACAAAAACATGTGGTGGAGCTATGTTTGGGTTGGACATTTACGTTTCCTGGAGACCACTAACTACATGTCTAACACTAAGTTGTGCCCATAAGATATATGTAAGTTGTATAAGTTTGGAGTCTTCATGGTCATTTCTCAGCCAACAAGACCTCTGTAGAATGTCTATTTTTGATAGAGCTGGTATGACTTTATGGGAAAATGTAGTAAACACATCTCAAAGAGTTTGAATTTTTTACATCATTCATATATGGCTGCACTGGTTAAGCTTTGTGGTGAACTCTTCATACTTTTAGGGGAAGAATAATATTATTGTAAAAGATAAAGCAAGAGTGCTAAACAACCATCTATTTCAAAAGTTTAAACTGTTGGAGAGGGTGTAATTTAAGTATTTATACTTCAACATGCGCCCTCACATGTAAGCTAGATTTTGGGTCTAGCACGTGAAATTTTTTTTAATAATTAGGGTGTCAGTGAGATTCGATTATATGAACTCTTGTTCTGATACCATGTTAAACANTGTTTCCGAGACTTGAAACCATAGTTCAAGGTATCGGCCGAGTCCGATACGACTCAGCCGAGTCGTATCCGACTCGGCCTATGGCGATACGATAACGGTACACGAAACGTAGAAATCACGANATTTTTTTTAATAATTAGGGTGTCAGTGAGATTCGATTATATGAACTCTTGTTCTGATACCATGTTAAACAATCATCTATTCCAAAAGTTTAAGCTTAGAGATGGTATAACTTAAGTATTTATACTTTAACAAAGAGAAATATGTATTTTTCCGTATTTGTGCCCAATTTCGTGAATTTTTCATATTGCCGTAGCATTAAGTCGTGTCGCTACCCAATGCTTGTGTTTGTGTTTCTTTACTTATTCTAAAGNTCCGATACGACTCAGCCGAGTCGTATCCGACTCAGCCTATGGCGATACGATAACGGTACACGAAACGTAGAAATCACAAATTGAACATATATCGCCGATATCGTCCAAAAATGAAGGACTCGGTGTTCAATCGCTTCAACTCGGCTGAGATAAATTGGAATCTTGCCGAGTCGACGAAGTCAGTGAACAAAATTGCAGAAATCNATATCGCCGATATCGTCCAAAAATGAAGGACTCGGTGTTCAATCGCTTCAACTCGGCCGAGATAAATTGGAATCTTGCCGAGTCGACGAAGTCAGTGAACAAAATTGCAGAAATCNGGTGGCGGAGAAGCCACTCAAGCTCAGAGCCATAATTTGGCTATCTTATTGGAATCCTAACACGTCCCCTTCAAAATGTAATAGTGTCGCTATTCTTAAATGTTACACTATTGTGGATATCCTGCGGGTGGTTGTTTTAATACTGATGATTGTTATAATGTTTCTTCATGTTGTAGGTTNAGTGGCGGAGAAGCCACTCAAGCTCAGAGCCATAATTTGGCTATCTTATTGGAATCCTAACATGTCCCCTTCAAAATGTAATAGTGTCGCTATTCTTAAATGTTACACTATTGTGGATATCTTGCGGGTGGTTGTTTTAATACTGATGATTGTTATAATGTTTCTTCATGTTGTAGGTTCATTCCAAGGGGATTAATGTTGAGCTAGTACAAAACTCTCTGGCGGATCTAGAGAGAAAGTTTAATGGTAACAATATCAAGTTTGAAGTTTATGTGGTTTCGTTTCTATAGATGCCAGTTTTAAACTTTTTTTTTGGTATATCTTTATGACCTGGTTATATGCTTTTGTGGCATTTAGCTTCTTCACTGTTAAACAATGTTATGGTTACTTGCATTTGCTAATTAATTATGTCCCACAACTGGAAAGGGTTTAGTGTGTTTTATAAGCTAAACTGGTCATTTTATCCTTTGGAGAAATCTACGAAATTTTGTGTATGTGTAAGATTGTGTCAGATGCACAAAGACCACTAAAGGATATTAGAACAATTGGCAATCAAGCATGGACCAAGCTTGCTAGGCTGTGTATAGCTGGAGACCCTTAAGGATTCTACAAGCCCTAAGCCCCCTCTGGGATACTGCACATTCTTGTGTGCCCTTGACTAAGCTCTTTAGCAATTATGAATACTTCATTGTGATTTTTGAAGATAGATATCACTTTGGAAAATTTTCTTTATTGGGACACATGATTCCTGAGAATACTTTGTTGAAACAGATTGCGAGGTTTTGTCTGTTAACCGTGTGTCTTAGGCATAGTGATAATTGGGAGCTACTTTGGAGCACACGCAGCAATCAAATCCCACTTTTTGGCTGGCCATCATGCAAGGAAAAAAAAAGAGTGGTGTCTGTTTATTTCTTTTTACAGCCCACTGCATTTATTCTCTCTGTAGATAATGCACTGACATTGGTACTGAGTCCTACTGACATTGGTACACGATGCTGTTCATTTGCTCCTTTTTTGTTCTTTCCTCCCCCAACCATTTCCCCACGTGCGGCTACATTTAATCTTTTTAATTCTCTAGCAGAGTACTTCATACATTTGACATCAGGAGATCCATCATGTAAAACCAAGTTAGAAAGATATGCCAGAACATCGTGCAGATGTAAGATCTTGACAAAGCTGCCCTTCAATTTTTATGCAAAACATGACTTCAGGTCATGATTCAAGGTCTTGTATCGGCCATTGACACAGAAAGTTTCGAGACAAATCGGTCGCGGCTTTGTTGTGCTGGACGATACGAATTAAAAGAAAATGTTGAATATGACAAAAAGTTTCAGGTCATATTGCGACATTGCAGAACCGGATACATCTCGGACGATTCCACTGAGTTGTGTGAGACTCGAGTTTTATACGTATCGTGTAACGGTATTGTCTAGGATGGTGCCGAGTCAAATACAACTCGGTCGACTCGTATCGGTATCAACTTATTGATGAGGATTGTGTAGGAATTCGAAAGATATTATAGATTAGTTATGAGAGTTATTTAAATATTTTTAGTATTTATCTTTTAAGTAATTTCTTTTAACTTTTGAGGGTTTATTTGTCATTATTTATTTGTTTTAGGGTTTTAGTTTTCCTATATAAGGGATGCATGTAAGGGTTTTATAGAGACTTGACTTATTGAATATTATTGAAGCCTGTTTTGCTAGATCTTGTTGTTCCCTTTTCATTCCCTTTCTTCTCATTCTTCTATTTCTCATCCCCTTAATTTTATTTTTTACTTCTTATGTTCTTTTATTTTTCACTTCTTATCTCTTTTTATTCTTCTCTTCTCAGTCCTAATTATTTTTCTTTCTAATTTACATCAATTTAGTATCAGAGCCCAACTTCGATTCGTGCAAACCACATCATCACTGTCCAGTCATATGAAATCCAACTCCCAGCATAAATTCAAAAAAATAAAAAAATAAAAAATAGAGAAAGGAAGAAGTCGAAATTTCATCTGACCCATAATCCTTAGTTACCCAACTTCTAACCTCTCAGCCCAAAATAAGTTCAAGCCTAGTCCAACACTAGCCTAACCCATATTGCAATTTAACTTAACCAAGCCTGAGTCCAATCTAGAATCCTTCCAAAATCCTTCCATATTGCAATTTAATTGTACTAATTTGTGCACCATATTATTATAATACTAATTTATTAATTTAAATTGTGTCTTCAAATTAATAAATAATATTATTTCATTAATATTAAAAAATATTTGTATACACAATTTTTACACACATAATACTTAATTTTAGATATTTAGCAAAATAAGGTATAATTAATAAAATAATTTTCAGTTATTTAATATACCAATTTAACAAATAATAATAATATAAAAAAATAATTGCAAAAAGAAAATAAATAATGAAGGGTTTTAAATAAAATTAATGGTACTTATGTGTACTTAAAAGTTAAAAGTTATAATGCAGTGAGGTATTATATTAAATTTATCATACTTATAACAAAAAAATAAAAATAAATGCAAGTCAGAAGACTCTAAAAGAGTCGGTCGTGACTTTGTCTCAACAACGAACATAGATAGAGACAGAGAGAATACAGAGAAAGGCGATGGGCGATGCCGGTGCCACAGAGAGAGAGAAGAAGAAGAAGAAAAATAACATATGTGGTGGCTCGCAGCGATGAAGGCCTAAGTCCTAAACCCTAAATCTGCGTGAAGGGAGGCTAGATCTGCTCAAATCTAGACTCAAGGAGGTAAGCTACTGAACTCTTCTCTTTCAATTTTTGGTGTATAGTCTATATCTGTATCTTTCTCTCTCTCTCTCTTCGATTTCGTCTGGGTGTGCCTTTCTCTTTCTCTTCTCTCTTTTTTTTTTGCTTGGAAGACCTGAACCTGTGTACATGTAATTTCTAAAAAAATTTGAGATTTTTGTGTACATGTGATCTCTGTTTTTCCTCCTTTTTTTTCTTTGTTTTCCCCCTTTTTTTTTTTTCTTGAAGGACCGATGCATTTGTGAATTTTGACTTGGGAAATCTCAGATTTTTGAGTGTTTCGCTTCTTTTCATTTTGGCTTGGAGGACTTTGGCCTGGAGTGCAGTCGAATCTATACACTGTTTTGTCGAAATGGTACTGTTTCGTCAAAAACGGGCCAATACAGTGAAGTTTCAACCGAAACTTTGAAATTTTGGGATTCAACCCATGTTTTGTATCGGTGTGTTGAAAATTCGAAACGTTTTGGACACGACATTTCAATCCTTGGTCTCAAGGGCACAGTTTTCCACAATGTCACCACTATACCTATTCTACTCCTAAAGTCTCTCAGGGTCATTATAAAGTCCATAGCAAGTCTGAGTTTTGTTATGAGGATTATCTAGAATACAACTCTAGGACACTTAGGTCACATGATAGTTACTCCGCCATGTTTCCCAAAGTTATTATCAAGGTTAATCTGGATCTATTCGTAATGTCATTTGTGACCATTCAAATGCCCAAGCTGCCCTAGAGAAAAGTGTTGAGACCAAGGATCAAAATGTCGTGTCGACACGTCCGAAACGTCCGAAACGTTTCGGAANGTTGAGACCTTTGAAATCGAAGTGGCCAATAACAAAAATTCACTCGGACAATTATGTGAGGAGTGGAGAAGGATGAAAACCCANGGTCGTGACTTTGTCTCAACAACGAACATAGATAGAGACAGAGAGAATACAGAGAAAGGCAATGGGCGATGCCGATGCCACAGAGAGAGAGAAGAAGAAGAAGAAAAATAACATATGTGGTGGCTCGCAGCGATGAAGGCCTAAGTCCTAAACCCTAAATCTGCATGAAGGGAGGCTAGATCTGCTCAAATCTAGACTCAAGGAGGTAAGCTACTGAACTCTTCTCTTTCAATTTTTGGTGTATAGTCTATATCTGTATCTTTCTCTCTCTCTCTCTTCGATTTCGTCTGGGTGTGCCTTTCTCTTTCTCTTCTCTCTTTTTTTTTTGCTTGGAAGACCTGAACCTGTGTACATGTAATTTCTAAAAAAATTTGAGATTTTTGTGTACATGTGATCTCTGTTTTTCCTCCTTTTTTTTCTTTGTTTTCCCCCTTTTTTTTTTTTGGCTTGGAGGACCGATGCATTTGTGAATTTTGACTTGGGAAATCTCAGATTTTTGAGTGTTTCGCTTCTTTTCATTTTGGCTTGGAGGACTTTGGCCTGGAGTGCAGTCGAATCTATACACTGTTTTGTCGAAATGGTACTGTTTCGTCAAAAACGGGCCAATACAGTGAAGTTTCAACCGAAACTTTGAAATTTTGGGATTCAACCCATGTTTTGTATCGGTGTGTTGAAAATTCGAAACGTTTTGGACACGACATTTCAATCCTTGGTCTCAAGGGCACAGTTTTCCACAATGTCACCACTATACCTATTCTACTCCTAAAGTCTCTCAGGGTCATTATAAAGTCCATAGCAAGTCTGAGTTTTGTTATGAGGATTATCTAGAATACAACTCTAGGACACTTAGGTCACATGATAGTTACTCCGCCATGTTTCCCAAAGTTATTATCAAGGTTAATCTGAATCTATTCGTAATGTCATTTGTGACCATTCAAATGCCCAAGCTGCCCTAGAGAAAAGTGTTGAGACCTTTGAAATCGAAGTGGTCAATAACAAAAATTCACTCGGACAATTATGTGAGGAGTGGAGAAGGATGAAAACCCAATTATATCAATTCACAACTCAACTTTTGCACTTAACTAAAATTCTTGCAAATCAGCAAATGGAAGAAAATAAAGACAAGTCACCTGTTTCACCTAATGTCGGACACCTGCATAATGATAACTATATTTCTGTTCCTTTGGACCCTCATGCTTTCTATTCTTCGGAACATACTTTCAATCGTTTGAACATTAATACTAGTAATGAGTTTATTTTTGATCCTATATTGTTTCCTACCTCATTGGAGCCAAAAGTTGAATCATCACCAATCATTAGACTTGACAGTGTTGATTTTGTTTAGGATTTTTCTCCACCTGAGATGTTGACATTGTTCTGGATTTAGCCCTATTTAAGATTGTTGACTTTGTTCCTTTGCATACTGCCAAGTGTTCTCTTGAAATTGTATTTAATTATTTTCAGCATTAGGGTGTTATTGTTACTCCTTTGTCATTGATGTCCTGTCCCACTAAATGTTGTTTGTTCAAATCTGATGAGAATTATTTTGTTATTCTTGAAATTGGATCTAGTACTTATTTGCTTAATTTTTCATTGAATGTTAGTATTAGTCCAAATTTTTATTTGAAAGACATGCTACTTAATCGAGGTACTCTAGAGCCTCTTATTTTGTTAGCCGATGTTTCTACAAGTGGAATTGCTTCTTCTTTAGCACTATCTCCAGTTCTTATCTTTCCATTTCCATCGCGTATTTTGGACCAAATAGATGATGTGCTACGTGACTAGATTTACATTGCTAAAAATGGAAATTCTTGTATTTATCATGGTCGATGGAAAAATGTTGATAGTTCTTTCATTCTAGATGAGGCGTTCTGTCATCTTCATCCTGCTTTCTAAGGATACTTCTCATTTGAAGACTTTCTGGATGAGAGTTTTCTCAATTGGAGGAGAATGATGGGGATCATGTAGGAATTCGATAGATATTACAGATTAGTTACGAGAGTTATTTTTATACTTTTAGTATTTATCTTTTAAGTAATTTTTTTTAATTTTTGAGGGTTTATTTGTCATTATTTATTTGTTTTAGGGTTTTAATTTTCTTATATAAAGGAATGCATGTAAGGCTTTTATAGAGACTTGACTTATTGAATATTATTAAAGCTTGTTTGGCTAGCTCTCCTTGTTCCCTTTTCATCCCCTTTCTTCTCATTCTTCTATTTCTCATCCCCTTAATTCTATTCTTAACTTCTCATTTCCTTCTATTCTTTTCTTCTCATCCCTAATTCTTTCCCATTCTAATCTACATCACCTATACTTTGAACCATGCTTCAGGTGCATATTTCATGTGCCGTATTTTTACCTGGCCAACAGACTCTCCATTTGTTGCATTTTAATTTTTAATAAAGATAATTCTACTGAAAAGGCAAAATGTTATATTTGTGCAAATGTGTGTGGTCAAATGACCCAATTCGTATACGTGTTTCATTTGCCATATCTTTACCTGGNAATCTATTCGTAATGTCATTTGTGACCATTCAAATGCCCAAGCTGCCCTAGAGAAAAGTGTTGAGACCTTTGAAATCGAAGTGGTCAATAACAAAAATTCACTCGGACAATTATGTGAGGAGTGGAGAAGGATGAAAACCCANTGACTCTCCATTTGTTGCATTTTAATTTTTAATAAAGATAATTCTACTGAAAAGGCAAAATGTTATATTTGTGCAAATTTGTGTGGTCAAATGACCCAATTCGTATACGTGTTTCATTTGCCATATCTTTACCTGGGCTAACACACTCTCCATTTGTTGAGAGACATGTCACAACTACAACTAGTAGGAGAGATGTTGGTTTGGTCCATTGATGATAAAAGGGTGCAAGCTTTTCAAATAATTGTGGGATGCAGTTGGAATGGTGTGGAAAACTTATTATTCTGACGAAGCTTAAAAATATACCTATATATGGATCTTGTTTCATTTTCGAGAACTATTTGTAATGAGGAGTACTCACGAGCTAGTTTAGGTGCTTTAACTTTCAGAGGTGCTGATTTACAAGATCTATCACTAGCTTCTATTTACATCCTTTAGACTAACTAATGCTTTCTTCTTTGTGATTATTACATTGGAATAACATGATAAGAATATAGGGAGGTTCCCTTGCCTTGAGTATGGACTTTAACATGATTTGGAGGCACTACTATTCACAGTAGTTGATGTTAATATTGTTGATTTCTTTATTTTTTTAGTAGTCTAGCTCCTTGTAGACCTCTTCTCTTGGTGATCCATTGAGTACTGCGATCTTACTTGCTTGCATGCTTCTGACTCTTTTAGTTTTTGTACAGGACTGGAATTTCACCTGTAATTATTCAATGGCTTGACCCCTTATTTGCCGAGTAAATTATATTTATTCTAGAATGGTTATCTTTCACGTCATTGGAATGGTGTTATTAACATGTTGAGTATGATTTTTGGGACCTTTTGCCCTTGGAAGCATCATTTTCAAAATACATATCTGTTCCCTTTTCGTGGACTAGGCTGATATACTTTTGGAGAGGATAAGCATGTTTGATCATGTCAACTGAATTAGAGGATTTTATTTTTCTGTAGTTCATGATTAAGTAATGTATTGGAATATAAAGAGTGAATGGAAGGTTTAATTTTCTGTGTACTTATATTATTGTCTTTGAAGGACCATTGATGGAGATTTTGGCCCAATGTGGTGGAGTAAGATCCTCATTTCCTGGCCTTTGCTGGTTTCAATATGCTATTTAATCACCTTTATCATGGTAGTTTGTTGATGTAGACCTTAATTACTATGGACAAAGAACTGCTCCAATCTTGCACATATAGGTGTTGGTATTTGTCAAGGATACTAGTGTTATTGTTTATTTTATGTGTTGTAACTAAGGTAACCACCTATGGATATACTCATCTTTTATGTTTCATTTTATACCTAATAATGTGAGTTGATAGTGAGAGGAATGGTAACAACTCCTTTCCTCCTCTCTCACAATCTTTCAAACTTTGGGTAAAGAAGTACGTTCTTAAGAACACTTACTATCTGTGGAAAGATCATGCCCGGGTCAAAGTTGAGCAACCCGATTTCTTTATTAGTAAAGGAGCAACCCGATTTCTTTATCAGTAAAGGACCAACCTTGTCAGGCGGCTGACATCACTGTCAATAACATGTATCTCAAATTAGTCTAAGTCATACGAAGATAACTCAGTTCATTCTAAGTTTCTATACGAAGATGAAAAATAAAACGATTGACTCATACCACCTAACATTTCATTAGGAACATGTGATTGACAAAGGAATTGTCAAAGGAGGGTTCTGCTATGTTTGCAAAAGATGATCCTCCTTCAACCTCTGTCTCCTTTCTTTTAGACGAGTCTTCTACTTGCTGTTCCTTCTCTAACAATGGTCCCTACTTTACAGTTTTTTCCCAATCGCTAGAGTATGAAGTAAGATAATTTTTATATTTGGTTGGGGTTCACATTGCATCATCTGGCCAATTCTTCGGTGAAACACTGACTAATTGGATGCATTATCAGCTGAAGCAATATCATTGGAGAACACTGCTATATGGATGACTCGTGACAAAAGCTTTGAGACATGGATCTGTCCTCTTTCTTACGCACTAATTGGGTATTGTGATGACATCATTCTTAGGTATTCTGTTTCTTCTTTCATAGAGCAATGCTTGTACCTGTTTACAAGTCTTGGGTTCTTGCTTTTGTTGATAAAACCAAATCAATAGATTTATTTTTTCTGTCCAGGTTATGTCAGGATATTGTGTTGCTGAAATCTGAAGTTGCAGAACTTGTGTTGCCAAATGTTGTTGTCAATCTAGCAGGCAGGAAGGATTTGGATGTTGATCTTTGCAAATTGATCTCCTCGCAGGTTCTTTTCTTTTGCAAATTTGGTTCATTTCTAATTTTATTGTGATTGTATTCTTAGTTGTAGAATGTGATTTAAGTTTCTGCTGTGTTTGTTATTTTTTACTTTTAGTTTTTCCTTTTCCACTTGTGTGTTGCATTCCATAAATTGTATCTTTCTTTAGTGTCTTTTCTTGCAATATCTATCAGCCTAGGTACCTGCATGGAGCCAACTACGTTAAGATAATCTAGGTAGAATAAATTGTTGATTTCTCTAGTGCTTGTGTAATAATTCCAGATTATTTACTCTTTCTCTTGTTTCTTTCTACATGTCTTCTGTCTTTACTGAAGACAATTGTACAGGTGGTCAATACATTGTACTTCCTATCATTCAGCTGAAGTCATAGTTGCTTCTCTTGAAGGCATACTATATAAAAAGGCATTTAATTTGTGAAGGATATTATTGCATTTGGTACTAGCGAGAAGGAGGGACGGTGGTGGTTGTAATGAATTTGTGTTACAGAATCAAATAAGATTTATTTAGAGAAAAAGTGGCAATTTGAATATTTTTTATGATTTTATTGGACAAAATTCAATAGGTAATATCAGTCACAATTTCCTGTGGAAATTGAACTTTCCTTTGTCGAGGATTGGATTAATTTTTGGGTGTAGTCTAGTATGCAAGGATCTAGATACAAATACGGAATATAAATACAATATCAACTTAACTCAACTAAACAAAGCCTGAATTCCAACTATTTGGGGTCGGCTACATGAATCTTATTTCTTCATTGCACTTTATCAAGGGTCATATGTTCCGTTTGAACGTGAGCTATCTTATCCTCTATAGTTATTTTAGGCCCACTTCTTCCTCTCGCATTACCATCAACATGTATAAAATCATATTACCATCAATATAAATACGATATGATACAAAAAAAAAATAAATTAAGATACGAATACGCCTATGGTAAATTGTGTTTATATATTCACTACTATCTCACAAGTTGATAATCACAATCTTTTATTAATATAATTAAAAAATTAGTAGTTTTTACACTCTTTTGGCATGTGAGCATGTATCTTCAAAGTAATTTTATTTATCTTTTGTATTATAGGTGAATTCGAGTGGAAAATATCAAGATTACAATTAAAAATTAAACATATTTTCCTGCATATATAGTTTCATATCGGAAGTATATACATCGTGGATACGTATCGGGGAAGGATCCAATATTTTTTTTATTTTTGGATACGTATAGTGTCTATTTCATATTGCTTGTATCCGACGAGTATCATATCTGATATTATATCCAATCTAAATATCGACCTTAACGAAGACCTGTGTTTCATAGAGGGCAGTTAATTTCTCTAGTTTTTTTTTTGGATTTTCCTATTAATAACAAATGGAGAATAGAAAATGCAATTGAGCAAAAAATTAGATAATAAAGGTTAATGGTTCCAGCATGCGTCTTCTTGGAAGTCCATCCCAGCATGTGTCTTCTTGGAAGTTCATTGAAGAGCCAAAACTTACGTATTTTGAATATGGGGAAGAAAGGTGCACGTTGTGGGGAGCCTGATGAGTCTCTTGCATAATTGAAGTAGACTCCACCCATTTGAAGACTAGAAAGATAGCCCTATTTTATCATTACTGCATTCAATAGAAAAATCTCCAAAGGCTCCTTTGCTGCAAGAACTCCATTCATTCCTTGGAACTACATATTTTTAGGCATATGAATCCTTGTGTCTATAAGCATTATAAACTTGGGCCTACCTGGTGAACCGAATTAGTGATTCTCCAATTGCTCCTTGTTTTGGACATTTGTATAATGATAGTCTATCCTTTTTTTTTCTGCTTATTTTTTGGGAGAGGAAAGGGTTAAATTCTAAGTTTGAAGTCTATTTTGTTTGGTAATCTGAAGGCTTGTTTATCTTATTTACAATATAAAAATTTTCTATGGTTCATGCCAATGATAATTGAATTATTGTTTGAGTAATCTTCAATTTTTTGTCCTGTAATGTTTTAAAGGCTGTATAAAAGTATACGGTGGGATTAACAATTTTGGAGATGAAATGTTGCATGTTTCTTGCTGGAGAGACATTGTAGTTTGTCAAAGTCTCTTCCCTAGAAATAGTTCAACTTAGAATGTTGAATAGCATCTCTGGAATGGAAGAGTAGGTGGGTCTGCCTTGTGAAGACCTTTAACCTTGATGAGTTTGCATCGGTGATGAAGTTTACTTGATTTTCTGCATCTATAAATTCACCTAGCACCCAAGTCTTTGTAATCTAAACAGGGAAATGGAATTGCGACCTACACAGTCTTATATCAATATGAAGTCCTCTTTGGTTCTCATTCCTTCATCTACTCAATTTCTTTTAGTTTTTTAGGCAGTGCCTATGCATCACGATAACGCAAGTAGGCTGCCTGTTTGAAGTTGAAAGTTGTCGACATTGNGATAAATTGTATCTTTCTTTAGTGTCTTTTCTTGCAATATCTATCAGCCTAGGTACCTGCATGGAGCCAACTACGTTAAGATAATCTTGGTAGAATAAATTGTTGATTTCTCTAGTGCTTGTGTAATAATTCCAGATTATTTACTNCATAAATTGTATCTTTCTTTAGTGTCTTTTCTTGCAATATCTATCAGCCTAGGTACCTGCATGGAGCCAACTACGTTAAGATAATCTAGGTAGAATAAATTGTTGATTTCTCTAGTGCTTGTGTAATAATTCCAGATTATTTACTCTTTCTCTTGTTTCTTTCTACATGTCTTCTGTCTTTACTGAAGACAATTGTACAGGTGGTCAATACATTGTACTTCCTATCATTCAGCTGAAGTCATAGTTGCTTCTCTTGAAGGCATACTATATAAAAAGGCATTTAATTTGTGAAGGATATTATTGCATTTGGTACTAGCGAGAAGGAGGGACGGTGGTGGTTGTAATGAATTTGTGTTACAGAATCAAATAAGATTTATTTAGAGAAAAAGTGGCAATTTGAATATTTTTTATGATTTTATTGGACAAAATTCAATAGGTAATATCAGTCACAATTTCCTGTGGAAATTGAACTTTCCTTTGTCGAGGATTGGATTAATTTTTGGATGTAGTCTAGTATGCAAGGATCTAGATACAAATACGGAATATAAATACAATATCAACTTAACTCAACTAAACAAAGCCTGAATTCCAACTATTTGGGGTCGGCTACATGAATCTTATTTCTTCATTGCACTTTATCAAGGGTCATATGTTCCGTTTGAACGTGAGCTATCTTATCCTCTATAGTTATTTTAGGCCCACTTCTTCCTCTCGCATTACCATCAACATGTATAAAATCATATTACCATCAATATAAATACGATATGATACAAAAAAAAAATAAATTAAGATACGAATACGCCTATGGTAAATTGTGTTTATATATTCACTACTATCTCACAAGTTGATAATCACAATCTTTTATTAATATAATTAAAAAATTAGTAGTTTTTACACTCTTTTGGCATGTGAGCATGTATCTTCAAAGTAATTTTATTTATCTTTTGTATTATAGGTGAATTCGAGTGGAAAATATCAAGATTACAATTAAAAATTAAACATATTTTCCTGCATATATAGTTTCATATCGGAAGTATATACATCGTGGATACGTATCGGGGAAGGATCCAATATTTTTTTTATTTTTGGATACGTATAGTGTCTATTTCATATTGCTTGTATCCGACGAGTATCATATCTGATACTATATCCAATCTAAATATCGACCTTAACGAAGACCTGTGTTTCATAGAGGGCAGTTAATTTCTCTAGTTTTTTTTTTGGATTTTCCTATTAATAACAAATGGAGAATAGAAAATGCAATTGAGCAAAAAATTAGATAATAAAGGTTAATGGTTCCAGCATGCGTCTTCTTGGAAGTCCATCCCAGCATGTGTCTTCTTGGAAGTTCATTGAAGAGCCAAAACTTACGTATTTTGAATATGGGGAAGAAAGGTGCACGTTGTGGGGAGCCTGATGAGTCTCTTGCATAATTGAAGTAGACTCCACCCATTTGAAGACTAGAAAGATAGCCCTATTTTATCATTACTGCATTCAATAGAAAAATCTCCAAAGGCTCCTTTGCTGCAAGAACTCCATTCATTCCTTGGAACTACATATTTTTAGGCATATGAATCCTTGTGTCTATAAGCATTATAAACTTGGGCCTACCTGGTGAACCGAATTAGTGATTCTCCAATTGCTCCTTGTTTTGGACATTTGTATAATGATAGTCTATCCTTTTTTTTTTCTGCTTATTTTTTGGGAGAGGAAAGGGTTAAATTCTAAGTTTGAAGTCTATTTTGTTTGGTAATCTGAAGGCTTGTTTATCTTATTTACAATATAAAAATTTTCTATGGTTCATGCCAATGATAATTGAATTATTGTTTGAGTAATCTTCAATTTTTTGTCCTGTAATGTTTTAAAGGCTGTATAAAAGTATACGGTGGGATTAACAATTTTGGAGATGAAATGTTGCATGTTTCTTGCTGGAGAGACATTGTAGTTTGTCAAAGTCTCTTCCCTAGAAATAGTTCAACTTAGAATGTTGAATAGCATCTCTGGAATGGAAGAGTAGGTGGGTCTGCCTTGTGAAGACCTTTAACCTTGATGAGTTTGCATCGGTGATGAAGTTTACTTGATTTTCTGCATCTATAAATTCACCTAGCACCCAAGTCTTTGTAATCTAAACAGGGAAATGGAATTGCGACCTACACAGTCTTATATCAATATGAAGTCCTCTTTGGTTCTCATTCCTTCATCTACTCAATTTCTTTTAGTTTTTTAGGCAGTGCCTATGCATCACGATAACGCAAGTAGGCTGCCTGTTTGAAGTTGAAAGTTGTCGACATTGGCTTTCCATAAGTGAATGCTATTCTTATAGGTAATTGCATGCAGCTTTGTTTGTTTATTTAAAATCTTTTTTGGGTACTCAACTAATTTTTGGCAAAATTTAGATTCGATTGAAGGATGAATTGGTTCTATCCTCTGCATAGAACTTTAGACAGAATTTCTTGCTGCCTGATCTACTTTGTAGTGGCACAAACTAGATTTATTTTGTTTCGTTTGCTTGCAGGTGGAGGGAAATATTTTTACCCAGTCCAACAAGTTGATCAAGTCAATCCAGGTTATTTTGGGAGCACTTAATGCACTTCGACTATGTCATGTGATGGAAAGAACTCTATCTTCAATTCCATCTAAAAGAGAAAGT